TTGTTTTTCTTGGACGAGTCGACTTCTTTTGTGTTTTTGCATAGTAATATAATACAAAAGAAAAATGTGTCAAAATGTGTCAAAATATGATTTAATTTAAAAAAAGGAAAAAACGAATAAAGATATTTATTGCGAATTTTATTTCGAGAAAAAACATATTTTTTTACTACCGTTTTAAAAAAAAAACCAATTTTAGTCAATTTTCAAAAGAATTCGAGTAGTTTTAGAAACTTAAAACCTCAGAAAGCAAGCAAGAGTCTCAAGTTGTACTTCGTCGATAATTATCAGCGCGATTAAATTAATGAGACACGATATTTCTAATTAATCAGAACGCACGAGTAAAAGAAAGCGGGAAAAACAAAAAGTAAGTAAGTTCTAAAACATCTTTCTAACAGACTGAATGCACGCGACGCAAATAATAACGCATTGCCTTTGATGTATACCTACCGGTGGTTATGCATAATTCCGCAGCACTAAGTTTTAGAACTAATTAAACTCCAGTCTACTAGAGAGAGGCGAAGTTAGGCAGTTCTCTTATTTCAATGATTGGTTTCATGAAATTCCGTATAATCGCCGCAGGAAGCGAGAGGATCGTTAAAGTTTGAAAAATACATAGTTAATGGCTTCGCAAAAAACCGCTACTCTTATATAATAATATTCTTTACTTGTTTTCTATATCTTCTTGAGAAAGAGAATCACGCGAAACTATAAAATTATATAAAGTTTCTCCTCATCTCTTTGCAATCTTTCAATTTTTATGATCCACTAATAAAGAAATGCGTAAACAGAATTAACAAGATCACGAAGAGCTATTTATCGAGCAACAAAACTTTTCGCGAAGCGGTTGTTTCGATTGCATTTTAATAAGATGACCACAGATTTTTCCGTCGTCGATTTCAGAACACTTCTCACTTTTGATAAGCAAAGAATTAATAAAACAAACGTAGGGAGCCAAGAGCTGTCATATATTGTCGCATGAGTTTTTATACAAACTTTGTGTAAAAAATTGAAACGTAAAATTAATTGTAACTGTCCCGGTGAAATTGGCGCGGATCTTAATTTCAAGCGTCGACTTAATCAAGAGATCCAGAAGCAAAAACTATAAGCAATATAAAATAAAACAAACGCTGAAGAGGTCGGGAAGTCAATTCAAAAGCGAAGGGTCGGTAAATGGTTGTAAAAGGGAACAAACGCACAGACAGAAGCGAGAAAATAAATCCACACTTCGTGTTGGTAGATCGAAGTGGCAAATATTTGGAGCTCTCGGTGCGCTCCGAGCGTAGTACGGACACAAAAGAGCTCGCACCTACTTCTCGTAATATCTCTATCCTCTCCGACAACCTGAGTTCTCTTGTATCAGACTGAAGATTTTCTTTTTTCAGATGTATATTTTTATGTGCTTCGATAACGATTGAAGTTACAACGATTATATCAATAAGGAAAACGGTGAGAGTCTGACGATAATTCTTGGGAGTCCGAATCTAATCACGATTTTCTGATTCGTGATAAATCTCGAGTTATTGTAACTTGCAATTAGCTTGGGATCTTGTGTAATTAAGACGTGACAAGAAATCACGATTAGTTCTTGTGGAGGAGTTTGATATGTATACATTTATAACACAAATAATCTAAATAAAGCTCTTATAATCTGACTAAGAGAGAAATAATAAAGCCTTTAAGAGCCGATAGAGAATATACGTGCAAAATATTTTTGGAGTGTAAATTAATTAAACACGTTCGAATTAATTTTAATTAAAAAAACTGCTTGATTCGTGTGTACAGAAAATCGCTTTATTCTCCTGAATTTGATTTGATAAAATCATTGCAAAAACAATCTTGGCCAGAAGAGCCATAAAATTATACACATTTATGTACAACGTTATTATTATTTTCTTTTTTATTTTTACATAGTATATTTTAACGTAATATATAAGCAGTAAAAAAAATAAAAAGCATTCTTTGTTTCTTTACGCGTCAGTAATTAGTTGATAGCGTAATTATGTATGTACGGCGTGGAATATTGTTAGTAACTCGGACACACCGGTCGGATTTATCTGGCTCTGTTTACTTCTGGGATTAACCGCGTATATTGTGAAGCACCCGTAAAGTAATAAAGATTATCATTTAACTAAAAATTCAATTAAAATTTGCTATCAAATGTGACGTTAATCTATATAAATAATTTGTATTCGCAGACTGTGTGTGTGCAAATATTATTGGCTGTCTGTCTAGAAGAAATTGAGATTGTCTTGTGTCGCAACATGAGCACATCTGCGAAGAAATCGTATGTGTATATATACATATATACGATATCGTGTATCTGACAGGAAGTTATCAGACTTTATAGACGCGATGGGAACTCGGAGATTGTCTTCTGTGATAAACTTCGGCCCAGGCACGTTAAAGACTGCCAATAATAGAAGGTGAGACGACGTGGAGAAATCGCGAGAGACAATCGGGAAGCGACACAGACTGACGATGACGTCGCGATGAACGAGGCCGACGGCGACGGTTCTAGGACGTACAATTTTGTCGTACGTTCACGTTTAATTAAGTACCGGGAAATAAGATGATTTAAACGCGCGCAATGGAAAGAGGAAGGAGAAGGAGGAGGTGAAGGGACAAGACGAGTGCTGAACTGAAAATGCGATTACAATTATAACTGTAATTGTGCGAGGGCGTTGACGCGCGCCAAAACCGGTTAATCCATTTTCCGCAAAGACTATATATTCGCGTAACATTTGTAATAAAATTACCACGTGGACGTGGGTATATACGCCACGTGGAAACTGTTGCACAGACGCGACTGCTTTTCGCAATATATTACGTATTTATACGCAAATCTCATTAACATATTGCGGCGGAGAAATTCGTTAAATATCGCTAGAAATTGAATTCCCAGCGAAAAGCGTTATATTTATTATTACTATTTATTCGTTACTCTTAATTAGTTTGTTAACGCTGCTGCTTCGCGAGCAAAACGTTCGGTTGAGATTTTCCTGTATGCCTTCTGCATATATAATTAAATGCGAATTTACCGTTTATTTTCTCTCTCGGCGTGCGCTTACGCCGCTAAGAAGTATTAGAGAGTTTCCGAGAAAGTGTAGAACGGAATCGATACGTAGACTCGAAGTAAAAAGTTGCTCGCGGAAAATTAGATGCTTATGCGCAAAGGAAATCAGGTTGTTACCGGCAACTTGTGTACAAAATGCCGTCGTGGCCTGTGCGACGTGTCACTCACCCCAAGAGTGCGCGTTAATAATTTATTTCGCGCGCCGAATCGATATGAATCGAGTGTTTCACGTATGTACACATGATACGTGCCACGGATAATGGTCTAATTATATTTGCATACGTACAATTTCCGAAGCGTCGACCAATTCAAGATCAAATTTGTATTGAGCGCAAGAGAGAGAGTAATCGCGCAACAAGAAAAGAAAGAAAGTCGAATTTAACCGTGATCCGTGATCTTCACCTTACCAAAAAATAACGGCATGTATTATTGTTTCGTGACTTTCTGCAACACGTGTGTGTTGTTTCTTTGTGACATAAATTGATCATTACGAGAATACATTACCTATGGCTTGACATAATTTTAAGTCATCGAATTTTTATTATGTCTTGACATAATAAAAAAATGAGAGCGGCTACGGCCATAAGAGTTTCTGCGATAGCTTTTCCTGGACATGGTTCTATTCTGTGCTAAGTTTGAGGACATGGTTCTATTCTGTGCTATGAGAACACCGACGTGTGTGGGGATACGCATACAAGCGAGACCGTTGTCTGCTGTGTGCGCTCGTGGAAGAGTGCGGACGTATTATGTCGATGTATGACGACGGTTCTCGTATAGCTTCTTCTTTGCATATATGGCTCACGCCCCTGCGAGAGAGGAGCAAACGCCAGTCTATAGATATATACATTCTCAGAACGAATGTGGGGGAATGCACACTTTTTACCTACTACCACGCGATACACGACCGTCTTTTCACAGTGGGCGTTGCCTATCTATGTCGGGCTCGTGCTCAAGGTGTTATGAGACTACGATCGCCTTGTGGGAGGGAAATTAATTCGGGATTACACCCGAATTAATTTTTGGAGGCCCGATTAAGTTCGCCAATCAACCGATAAACTCGGTTGAAAGGGACCGGCCCGGAAAAAATTCTTAGGTGGTGAGCGGATTCGAACTCGGGACCTCCAGATTCGCAGCCCCTGCACTCAACCCGCGAGACCACTGGGCCGGTCGTTCTCGTATAGCACGGAATAGAACCATGTCCACGAAAAGCTATCGCAGAAACTCTTATGGCCGTGGCCGCTCTCAGGCTTCTCTCTGCTTATATGTTTTGTAATTCTTACTACAATGCGTGATACATAATCGACCGCTAGGTCGGAAAAGCTATTAGGCTGCCTTTACATGCGGCGTAACTTGCGTAAGCCAATCATATCGTCTCAGCGTATTTGCGTATGATAGCTGAGACGATATGATTGGCTAATCCAAGTTACGCTTACGTAAGTTGCGCCACATGTAAAGCCTATGTCACACTACGGATTGGGATTGAGATTGGATTGAAATTTGACCAATCAGAAGAAAGAAAACCAATCCTAGATTTAGTGATCTTCGCTCTAATTGGCCAAATTGCAATCCAATCTCAATCCGTAGTGTGACATAGGCTTAAAGGCAGCCTTACACATTCTCTTATAGGGCTGCGTTCGGGGAGAACGTTATCAGCTCTATTGCGTAGTTCTATTTTTGTTTTACATCTAATGAACAATAAAGATAAAATGATGCAACAGCGCTGATAGCGCGCTCTTCGAACGCAGCCTAGGTCTGGCCGCTCTCAATCTTCTCTCTGCTCTGGTTTTACCAATTTTACGCATTTCCGTTCACAAGCACCGCGATATCTACATTTTGTGCACACCAACTACAGTCTATTTTCTAGATATTTCTAAGACATTTTTCAGACTTTTGTGCTGTTCGGAGATATATCAGCGCACCAAGCAGAAGCGGGAATAAACACACAAATTCCAAAAAATTTGTCGTTACCGTTCGAGCAAATTGGTTTTGCTTCGTGACTAATGTTTGATGGCGCTATGGTTCCGTTGACGAAACCGGAACAGACTGATATGTAAAAGGGATATGGTTAGGAGCGAAAATATTTCTCAGCAACATTGATCCTTCCACTATTTTTCAACTGGCTATTTTTCTTGTCGTAAGTGCACGTACTTTTTTGCTGACGCGTATAAACTCCGCAATCGCACGTATATTTAGAACGCCTACACCTTCTTACACTTTCTGCAGCCGATATTGAAGGTGTAAAAGGTGCAATGAAATAAAGCGCGAAAATAAGACGTCGCATTTCAAAGTATAAGAAAATCTTCTTGTACTCCAAATTAATTTCTAAAATAACAAAAAACCAACAAGTGAGTCAGGTGTAAGTAACTCTAGTTGTTATACTCGAGTATCTTAAGAAGCATAAATTTCTCCAGCGAACATGAAAGGTTGGCTCCAACGTGACGAAGAAGGGAGAATAATCATAGATAGCAATGGATATGTCACTATTCAATGCGAAGGTAAAAGATTGATACACATACATATATATATATACATATATCTATTCTGTAGACTGTATATGAAACTATATGTATATTATATTATAACTCTACTGTTGTGCAATAACTTAATGTTGAAGTTCTGTATGTGTTACCTGTTAGCAAAAAGTTCCAACGTAACCGTCGTCACGGAAGTATCGTTTCTCGGTCTTCTTCAATCGACAACATAATTTTTAGATTTTATGCAAAGCATAGCGTATGTTTTGCTACAGTGGTCTTTGTATCTGCGTTCTGACATAGACTGGCGCTTTTGCCATAATATTCTTTATATATTCTTTTGACTTAGACTGGCGTATGGACTAGTTAGTTTCGGTCCAAAGAGCCATACTTGCACCACCAATCTTACCTGTTAGCAATAATGATGTATACATATCATTACTATAATATCAATAATCATTAATGAAGTATGTATGTGTTTATGTAAAACAGAAGAAGATTTTGTATTCCAAGTGCATCTTTCTGAGATTGATGTTAATGCAGAGCAAATGTGCTTCACTGTTAATGACAAAGAGGTGTATTTTGATGTCTATCCCTTTGTGGAAATGATAGAAAATGAGCATGAACCTGGGAAAGTAGAAGAGCGAACAGAAGAGCGGACAGATGATGAGCGGATGATAGATGAGCGGACGACAGATGACCAAGTAGATGATGAGCAGATAGACGAGAGATTAGAAGAAGAAAGATTAGAAGAAGATGACAGATTCGCCACAGCAAGTACAAGTAAAAATGGTAACGCAATTTTTCCATGGTGCGACGCCTCTACTAAAATTTTTCTGAAAGAGTATAAACAGAAGAAAGAACTTGTAAAGAATAGGAAATTGAAAAACATGAAAGTTGCATATCAACAGATATCACAAAGTCTACAAAAGAATGGCTTTAATGTGTCTCCACTGCAAGTGGAAAACAGATTCAAAACACTCAAACGTGCTTATAAGAACATGATAATACACAATCGAAGAAATGGCAGAGGAAAATATATTTATAGTTATGAGCAGTAAGTTTGTTTGTTTTTTTTCATTGGAGTTTTTGTATAAGCCACTTCATCTACTACTCTCTTCCTGAGTATAAAATATATATTAAATGCATCCATAGGGATCTAGATGAAATCTTCTCTTACAAAGAGTTTCTAGCTGATTTGCAAGATGGAGAAGTAAATGAAGAAGGTACAGACTTAGAGTAAGTATACTATATTATCAGGATTCTTTATAACAAATTATTTATTTATTAATTACGCAAATATTTCTTAAAGATCTACAAGAATTACTAGAACAAAAAATGCTCATAGGAATTCTACATCAAATAATGAAGCAGACTGGAAACAAAATGTCAGATTGGAAGCTCAACACGCAAAGATGATCGAGAATTTGCAGAATTGCCAACGTACATTAAAGGCTCTAGTTACAAAGATGGACAACAGAAGTAAAAGTGTCACTGAAACGCAAAATAAAGTCTTACAGATATGCACAGAAATACGAGATATGCAAAAAGAAGCATCTGCTCGTACGGAAGAGCATAGACAAAAAGCTACCAAGCAAAGAGAAATGAAGAATAATTTGCTTCAAGAAATTTTGGCAGTTTTAAAATCTAAAAAAGAAGTATAATACAGTTAATACAAGATAAAAGTGTGTTTTTACTTATAATAGTTATAAAGAGAAATATGATTTATTTATTGTGTTAAATATAATCTGGCCATCTCTCTTTTATAATGGGTCATTTCTACAAATTCTGATTGATTGTAAAATTAGTTAATTAAGATAAGAATCAGATATGATTAATTACTTTTGCTAATTAGTAAGTACAAATTGATTATTGTCAATGAAATAAGAAACTTATAGATAACACTGATCGGCAAAATTCACTTTTTATAGTATGTAACAATAGATTATATATTAACAAATAATCTTTTATTTTTTTTTCAAGAATGAAGAGCATGTAAAAAGCAGTTATATATATTTACATTGAATAAATATTTACATTACAAGATTGTAAACATATAAGAAAAGCTTTTTGCTGATCAGTGTAATCAGAGATGATAAAACTGAATCTATACGGTGAATTTATTTTATAATTTTTGTTATGTAAAATATTAATAGTACTTATGTTACTTAGAAATGGAATTGTGAAATAGATTTTTGTATTACATATATATCTTTTTCCGTAAATCTATGTACATATGCATGTAAGAATAGAATTAACTTTTCCTGTATCTTGTAATGTAGAACATATTGAAACAAGTTTTAATTAGGTAAGAAGAAATGCAGAGCTTAAAAAAACCCAATTTTGTACACAATACTATGTGGACCATCAATTTAAGCTATTTGGCCTTACTTAAAAACTTGCAAACTTATTATTTCTTTTCTGTATATTATATTTACAAAGGAATAAACACGTTAAGTAATGTACATATATATTTATCATACAAGAGCATGCGATAAATATATATGATATACATTATTTAAACAATGATTGCATAAGTATATTAGCAAGAAATTTGTCTTGGATGTATGTGACACCAAGAGTTTGTCGTGTTCATTCACTTCTCATTCAATGAGTGAGTTTTACATACTCGTTTACATACTAAAACTGATATATGTGTGTTAAAATTCAAGAAGACAAAAAACTACTTATACTAAACTATAACAGTGAATTATAATTGTTATCCGGCAGGTCATGAATGTTCGACTAAGGGATCAATCTTGATACCAAATATATTTACCGTCAAGGATATTTACTTAATATGAGCAAAAAGAAGATAGAAACCATATGAAATCCTGTACTCAGGGACCTGTACTATTGTTTCTGCCTTGTATGCCAGCGTTATGTCCACGGGCGATGCACATTGGCAACTCAGTTTTTCAGGATGTGAATAGAAATGAATCTCACGCTGTGAACATAGCGCGGACCAGAACCACGTCCACGTTTGGACAGCGCACGTACCGTCTTGTCGCTCGTGGGTACGTAGTTGCCAATGTGCACCACTTGTGGACACAGCGCTGGCTTACACGGCGGATGAGCTATTACTATTTCATATGGCCCTGGCCGATCTCAGTGCTCTCTTTGGTGGGAAGTATGAAGAAATCGTGTGTAAGTTTTTCCGGGGTATCGTGGATACGAGACCTAAACCGATCTGACGCAATCTGACGCGTGCATGAAGTTGGATACGATTGGAGATTTGTTTCCTGTCGCTCACATGTCTCGCGGTTGTGCGTAACATATTTTTGTATTTATTAACGTATTTATTAATTTATTGGTAACAATGCACGTCTTAACGAACAACGGTAATCCGAACGCTTTGAAGTTGATCGTCGCGTCTAAGTTAGCCGGCGAGTCTGTCACCGTTAAAATCGTCGAGCCCAACAGTGAGTCTTAACCTCATCTTTGTCTTTTATTATATATTGATTTGTAATTGCATAAACGATTAGCGCTAGTAAGGAACAATCAAATATTGAGGAGAAACAGATTGTATATGTTGATATTTCTTTTGTAAACACTTTCAATGAACATATACACATAAAGTGTATGTGTATAGTATTTTTATGGATGGTTTCTACTTTGTAATTCCCATGCAATAAGAATACATATTGTGTTATGTGCAGAGGCTCTTCTAGGTCGTTTACCTACATTAACCACATCCTCAGGATCATCTTTATTCAGTGTCTCTTCAGCATTACAACTTTTATTGCCTGTACCCAAAGACTTGGAAGTTTCCAATAACAAATGGTTGGAATGGGAAATTTCTCAGTTACAAGTATAAAAATATGTTTATTATAAGTTTGTGTAATTTACATAAGTGCAGGCTAAAAAGTTAAAATACTTTTATAATTCTTGAAAATATGCTATAGTCTATTAAGTTTTACATATTTGATACAAAATTATGTGAAACACATTGACATTTAATATATCTTTTTTGCAGCCAACTATATTGAGTTATGCTAGTGAAAAAACTTTAAAGATTTCACAGAAAACTGACTTATTGTCTTTGTTAAAAGATCTCAATAGTGAATTAAAAGATAAACAGTACTTAATTGAGGTAAATATTAAAGATATCTTATTTTGTGTTATTAAAAAGTTTGTTTAAACTTTTTTTTTTTTTAATTTGTTTTTTTTAGACACATAGTAATTTATCACCAGCGGATATTTCTATTTGGGTGAGTCTCTGGAGCACTGTATTTGTTTATGACATCGAAGATCTTTCTAGGACATTACCAAATGTCACTAGTTGGCTGGCTAACATTGAAAAGCAATTAGTTGTTCAGGTATAATATTATTATTATTTATTATTGTATATATAAACTTGCAATTGATTTTAAATTTATATCCAATAAATTCTTTCTGAATTATTCAGGAATCTATCAAGATGTGTGTTAAAGAGTTCAAGTTGGAGAGGGGTACAAAAGCTGTTGCAAGTATTGAAGCTGCTTCCTGGTTCCCCAGCAATACAAATTCAAGTTGTCGTGTGCGTAATTTAGCATCAAGTGATGTGAGTATATGGTTACTTTCAATGTACTTTTAGTAAACATTCTTTACAAAAAGACAGTGAATCTTTTTTTAGACTTAAGTAACTTATTGGGCTCATTAATAGACATATATATTACAGCTTAGTCCAACTAAAGAGAAAGAAAAAGAGATAGAAGTTATTAGTCAGGAAGAACTTCTTAATGTGGAAAATAACTGGACTACCGGACAATATCTAGAAGTTAAGGAAAATTCGTATCCTATGTAAGTTGCAAAATTGAACAAACTTACATAATTGACACAAGTTTGTTCATTTATATATGTTTAATGATTCATATGATGTTACTTTAGACTGCCCAAAAAAGGAGAAAGAAACGTCCTAGTAACATCGGCACTTCCTTATGTTAATAATGTTCCGCATTTAGGAAATATCATCGGTTGTGTTCTTTCGGCTGATATTTTCGCAAGGTTTGTACAATCTACATTTTACAAATCTTGGTGTTTTGTAAACTTGTATTACATGTTGACTTCGTTGTTTGTAGATATTGTAGACAAAGAAATTACAACACTCTATACATAAGGTAACATTATTATTAGTTTGTGATGTACACAAAAAGATAAAACTTGCATCTTTTCGTTAAAATAATTTCAACTTCAAGTGGCACCGATGAATACGGCACCGCAACCGAAGCAAAAGCTTTACAAGAGAAAACAACTCCTCAAGCTATTTGCGATAAATTCTTCGACATACACAACGATGTTTACCGTTGGTTTGGTATCGGATTTGATTACTTCGGTCGTACCACTACGCCTGAACAGACTGAGTATGAGTGTGACAATTTGTTCTTCTTTCGTTCTTTTCTTTGTTGTTTTCACCTTGTCGCGTCTTTTCAGAATTGTTCAAGCGTTTTTTCTAAAGATCAAGTCGCAGGGTTACGTGTTGAGTCAAACTGTGGAGCAGTTGCATTGCGAGTTTTGCGATCGATTTCTCGCCGACAGATTTGTGGAAGGCACATGTCCTGGATGTAAGTACGAAGACGCGCGCGGTGATCAGTGCGATGGCTGCGGCCATCTCGTAAACGCGGTCGAGTTAATAAATCCTCGATGTAAGATTTGTAGCAATAGACCCGTCATAAAAAACTCGGTGCAATTCTTTCTGGATTTACCCAAGGTAAATTTACATGATTTGTGTTTGAGTTGGCGATCTTGTTAAACAAATTAAATATCAATTCACAAGCAGCATTATTTTCTTAATGCAGGTAGAACAGAAATTAAAAGAATATTCTTCTACTGTGGAGAAAGGATGGTCTAGTGTCGCGAGGGTAGTTTCAAGAGCGTGGCTGCGCGACGGTCTCAAACCGCGTTGCATAACCAGAGATCTGAAGTGGGGTATACCGGTTCCGGTGAAGGGCTATGAGAACAAAGTGTTCTACGTTTGGTTCGACGCTCCTTTCGGATATATCAGTATTACAAAGAGATACACCAAAGAATATATGCAATGGTGGCAACCGTCTCAGGATGTAAAAGTCGACTTGTGCCAGTTTATGGCAAAAGATAATGTTCCATTCCACGCAATAATGTTTCCCGCTTGTCTGTTGGCAACTAATCAAAATTACACATTGATCAAGTATTTAATGGCAACTGGTACGATATCTTCAAAAAATATATATACATATATATTTTACATAATTTTGTTTTTTTTTTTAGTATTTAATTTTTAAATTTATTTTTTATCTCGATTTATCTATTTAATATTTGTTCTGCTATTTTTTTTAGAATATCTGAATTATGAGGATAAGAAATTTTCGAAATCTAGAGGCATCGGAGTATTCGGAACCGATGCTAGAGACACCGGCATTCCAGCCGATGTATGGCGATTTTATTTAGCTTATATCAGACCAGAAACCCAAGACTCAAATTTCAACTGGATAGACTTAGCTACAAAGAACAATAGCGAGTTACTGAATAATCTTGGCAATTTTGTTAATAGGTTTGTAGTTTTCCTCTTATTTTTTCTGTGAGCTAGTAATAACGTCTCAATAATGTTGCTATTAACGTTTTCAAATATTCGTTCTTTGTTACAACTAGAGCCTTGATGTTCTGTCAGAAGTTCTTTGATTCTAATATACCACCGATAGAACAGCCGGAAGAGGCGGATTGGACCGTACTGGCGGAGGCGCAACGCGAATTGACGTCTTACATAATTGCCATGGAACAGGCTAAGTTGAGAGATGGCTTGAAACACATTTTGGCGATTTCGAAGCATGGCAATCAATATATGCAATTCCAACAGCCGTGGGTGAAAATCAAAGGGACTGACGACGACAAGTAATAATTTTATCTTATTTTAACATTTTTCTCATTAAGATATAACTTGCTCTTTTTTTATTTAAATTTTATTTAAAATTAACAGGAAGAAAGCTGGCACCGTTGTCGCAATTTGCTGCAATCTGGCGTGTCTTTTATCCGCTCTTCTCGGTCCCTTTATGCCCACTACGGCTAAGCAACTGAGATCTCAACTAGGCTTGAGTAACAAAAATTACGGATACATTCCCGAGACAATAACAAATATGCTACCAACTTGGCACAAAATTGGCAAGCCTAATCCGCTTTTCACCAGAATTGAAGATCAAACAGTGGAATTGTTACGCAAAAAATACGCCGGACAACAAGAAACTAACGGAAAGATGCCGTCCGAGACGAGTAAAGAATCTGCTAAAACGTCGGAAAAGAGCAAAGAATCTGCTAAAATATCGGACAAAGACTGTCCCAACAATGTTGCAGTATTAGAAGCTGCTATTACAAAACAAGTTAATAAACTTTTTAAAACTTATAATTTTTCTGCACACATAATGTGAAAAACATAATCGAAAATTTTCTTTTTCTGTATAAATTGTAAAACTTGCTTTATGACATTTTGTTTTCAGGCCAATTTAGTAAGAGAACTGAAAAGTAAACATGAGAAAAGCATCTGGCAACCTCAAGTAGAAATATTATTGGATTTAAAGAAAAAACTTGCTGCTCTCAAAGGCGTTGCGAACACATCTGAGAAAAACGCAAAAAATAAAAAGACGCCCGTGTCGCAACAGAATGGCTGGGTCTCGCAACAAGGTTAAAAGTGCTTGCTCTTATATATTATTTACGATAATATGTCACTTTCGCATTCTATTACGTGACATCACAATTTTATGCGAGAATTGTATATTAGATAAGATGAATGTGCGTGTGTACGAAAATTAAATCGAAGTATTGTTCGCGAAAGTAAAGCAATCTTTAGTAACTCAAGTCACAACATTGAATAGAAAACAAAAATTTAAAGGTAAAAATACCTTCATCTTTTTTCTCGCTATATGTAGAATACACAGATATAAAGATGTAGTAGTATGTCAAAATTGTGTACAGCAGAATCTCTGATGATTCAACTCTCTTCTGTTTCCCCCATTTTTTGGCACAGATTGTGCGTCACTGTACAACATGCTTCCTTTATCCTCATGCCCTGTGCAGCACATTTCCTTTATTTTCACAGACTAGCGACTCTTTCAGTTCATCTACTTTTGTTGTTACAGGACATTCCCGCTTAATTTAAGTCGTCGGAACCGAATAATCATGTCCACTATCTTTCACAGTTTATAAGGAACTGCTGTGAAATCAAAATAGCAAGAATCTGATTTGTGTTGACATCATCATGAAATATTTTCTATGTGTATACATATGTATTTGCTTACATACGATTAAATAATCTGGACTATGACACTACGCTTTTTACAAGAGTAAATATGCTACATCTATATATCTGTGATAGAATAATTTTTAACATTCTAGTAAACAAGTTATTTTATGCTATTTAACAAGTTAGTGAAATAACTTACTTTAACTTATTTTTTTCGACGCATGACATGTTACATAATGTCTACAATTAGAAGAAAAAATTAGTTAAAGGTAAGAAAGTACACATTTTTTTTCTTATTCGGAAAGATATTTAATTTAAAAAATACTTTTTACGTAACACGATTTGTGTCTTTGACTAAAGTCAAAGAGTTACCTATTGAACTCGTGTTGGAATTTGGAGACACTAATGTTTCTTTATTAATTAGTTTGTTTCGGGATGGGTAATTGTACTCTTTATCGTAAGAACGATTATGAGAGAATATTTGTACTTTATTTAAAAAATACGTTTATATATTTCCACGACTTATGTTTGTACACACGACAATAGTCTGACAAATGTTTTACGTAAGAATTATAAGTAATAATAACTGCCCCCCAAGAAGATATCAACTTAAATAACGCTTCTTGCTACTTCTCGCACTGTCCCCAAGTTACATCCAACTATTTCCATCTGACAAGTTATTGCGCTTCAAATAAAAAAACAAATGTTTTTATTTATGAAACAATCATCTAGTGATCCTACGAAAGAATCTTATAAGAAATGTAATTTTAATAAGACTCGTATATAAGATCCAATTGTAAAAGTTGACAAGGATGCATAAAAAACCGCAATAGTCACGAAATAAATATACTACGTAATACGATTAAAATGATAAGAAGTGAAATGTTGTATCTACTGGTACTGTTTTGTCATTAATACTTTTTGGAAGAACTTACTCGCTTCCGGGAGAAGTAAGACGACATTTTTTTTAGGCGGTGCTTTACCCTTTAAAAACATCTTATTTTTCCTGCTCATCATTATCGTATCGTGTTTTGTAACGCTCGGTGCGCATTTCGAATTCGTCGCGTAGAAAATCAGATGCTCGACGGAGAATATAATAAGTGAAATTGCCATGCCGAAAAGCAGAAAAATCAGAATCGGCGCCGCTTCGTAGATCGTCACGCTGGAAACGAAAGTTTCCTCGGTCGGACAGTAAGGCCTCTTGGACGATTGACGATGTAGCTCTCGTCGTCGAAGTCCCGAGGTAGATATTTTTATCAACCTATTGACATTTTCTCGTATATTGAGAAACATAAAATTTCCTGCGTTTAATGTTTTACGATAATACTCACCCTATTTTGGTAATTTCGTGAAATTGACTGTTGAGATTACTCCAGAGACCCAATTCGGAAGGCTGTAACAAGTGAACCTCCGTGAGCTGGCAGATCATCTGTTTGTCGAACGATTGTGCGATGGTCGGATAGATATCGTCCGGATCGGCATGGTAAGCGAAGCCTCCCTTCTTGATTCTCTCCACACCCTCCTCGATCGTGAGAAATTTTTTTGACTCCGGTATAGCGTCCCAATATTTTTTAAAGTATTGCACTTCCGGTTGTTCATTCTAGCGGAATATCAAAACTAGCCAGAACAATTAAAGCTTAAACAGACTTTAAACTGTTCTGTAACGGATTGTGCTTTTACCCGGAAGAGGTAGTTTAAGAAGACGTTTTGCTTGGCTGCGAACTTCATTCCACTGTGCGCCAGCGAATACAGCGAGTCGTTCATCTTGCGGATCGGATCGTTCAGTCTGGCCGACACGATCGCTGCCGAGTAATAGTTAAACACCAACAGACCGAAGACAGTGATCTGAATGAAAGCGATTCGAGCGGCAGATTGATCGGCGAAAGACGGGAAACCTGATTATGAGATCGCACAATAACAGGAAACATTAATAACGATGTATCGATGTCGCTGTTGATCGGCAAATACCTTGCTGACACAACGCGCCGACGGTAATCAATGCTGAAATACTGCATCCGTCGTATTCTTCGGTGCGTTCCAGCTTCAATATGAGAGACAAAATGGGAATGGTGATCACGACGAGTATGATCATCATGTACCATGCATCCACAGCGAACGGCTTCAGAATTATCCACGGTTTCATCTTCATCGCCGGTATAGTGCGAAACACGAAGCAGGTTCTGGTTAAAAGATTATTTTGTTTTTTACTTTATATTCAGTTATATTATTGTTTATATTGCTATCTATCTATATTGCTACGTTATTGTTTTTATATACACACATGTGCGTGTATTATGTTATTAACGTATTAGCTAGTTTTTCAATTAGAAATACCGCGTGGGCCATTGTTGAAGAATGACGCGTGCGAATCCGTATCGTTCGATCGTCAAAATACACGGATAGTAGCCAAGGTCAGCTACGCCCTTCTTCAAACTCCCCATCACAGGACCGTTGCTGTCGTTTTTCTCCCAGCGAGTGATCTCGATGACATCCAAACTGCGAAAACGTTCGCCGGGTGATCGATGCGGTAGAAAATACACGCAGGAATAACTCGCAAACAAAGCGTAAGAATTAATTACGTGAAATTGTAGATGTTCGAAACGTGCGAGAGAAGAGTGTACCCAAATTTTGACCAGTTGTCCAGTATTGTATTGTCGCGCTCCAAGTACTCTGTTAAACTTACGTTTGACGGTCTGTATACTACCTAAAATTATATTTATTAAAAAATTAGTGATTAAAAACTAAAAAATTATTATTATTATTAGTTTTTTTTTTTTATTAAATCGGAGCTTTACGATCCCGGCCACTTTGACTCGCAATCCGCGATAATCCCGTCGTCTGGAGATCTTCGTGCCGGTCAGAGTGATCACGAGTCCGTCGTCTTCTCGCCAGGTACCGAGAGTAGTGATGTTGAGCACGCCTCCGCGCGTCTTGCAGTGATTGTACACATCGTAGAGAACGTAACCAGACTCGTCCGGCAAGAGGATCGCAAGATCCGTGACGATGCTGAAGCCAGTATCGTTTAAACTCTGCTTACTGTGACTCATGTTGCTCCCCAAAATCAGCCAATTGTACGAGTAATCGAACATGCGATTAGCCGAGGCCTAAATGGATTTTATCTTGGTATTTATTTTCTTATAATTTGACTAACACAATTGCGTCTGCTTGTTTATTATAAATTTACTACAAAGAAAATTGTTCTAGAAAATTTCTATAATAATTAACAAAATATTGCAAGATTCTAACTAAGTCAAAAATGTCGCTGACGTTTTGGCTCGGACATCGTATGTCTAGAAACACGCCTAAGGTCCGATCGGTGTCGAGATATCTCAGAACATCGACTTGAAATTCAGCCGGTTTAATCGCCGCGTATATACCGATGACGTTTAGCAGCTTCACTGTAAGAAAATCGTCTGCGAAGAAGATCGTTGAAATTGCACGCGAGACAGCGAGCTTAACTCACCTTCCACATCTCCGCAAGAGAATCCCACCACTTTGGTCACTTTCTTGTAAACAAAATAATCACGAATAATGTAACTGATTTGGGCGCACTCGGCAATAACGAAGATTCGCAAGAGGAAGATATTTAACAGGTACATCTCTATCTTCGGTATGCGCACCGTGAAAACTATACGATAACGTCCGTCTTCTTACGCTTTTTATAAGAAATTTAGATGAAAGACAATTTTGAACTCGAGACAGCAGAAACGATTTGCGACAGAATTATCTATAACGTCGATTGACATGACAGCATAATCACGGTCGCTTCTGTGATACGCATACAAAGTGTCTCACCGCTACTCGCTCTCTTGTTGACGTTAGATTTCTCGATCAGATTGAAAAAAAATCGATGTTTCTTTGACGAAAACTTTCGTTGGTCCTCTCACTTTTATAATTCTTTGAATTTTTCAACAAAGTTGAGAAAATTAAAGTTTCTGCAAATGCCTTGTCTGGATAATTTAGTTATCGATCAGTTCCGTTGTAGCAGTGAGACACCCTGTAGACGATGTAACACGACGCTCAGTACTTCGATTCCAGAGTTCTCTACACAATTTTTTTACCCTAATTCCCTATCAATTATCCGAACCCTAGCGAATTCATCAACCTATCGATTTGCCTGTCTTGCCGACTATTATCCGGTTGTTTCCTACAAAAGTATTCACAGAAAATTTTTCCCTCCGCCAAGGTCTTCGATGCAAAGTGAATATTTATGACTTTATTACAGCAATATTACAGAGAAAAATTACATTTGTGTGTAGCGTGTGTGTCTGTTCTTTTCTTCGTAAACTAAGTGTACGATAACGAGACACTAACGAACGATCCAATTATAAGTCACTTTCGCGCAGGGTGTTTTACTTGTCAAGGCGAGACGGAATCTTTTTCTTCTTCGAGCAAATTTTCCTCGCTCGAACCGGCGATGTTCGTGTCGTCGCTTGTCCTTGATTCTCTCAGTGTTTTCCTTTTGTAAGTACAAAATTGAGAATTATTTATTTATAGAAATTTTTAATTCACGTACGCGCGCGGAATTTATAAAAGAACTTTTGATATTTTCGAGAAGCTCGGAGAAACACACCTTGTGAATCGATAGTGAATAATGTTCTCGATGACGCACGTCACACTCGCGACGATCATACCGAAAACTAACAGAATCAGAGCCGGAGCGGTTTCGTAGATAGATATGCTTCTCGTGGACAACGTGTCGAGTTGGCACTGAGGTTTTCTGCTTGACCAATATTTTATCTGACGATCGCGCAATCCGGTATTGAACATCTTGTACAGTCTGAAAAAGAGTCATTTCTTCTGGAAACTCATTCACTCTGCGAATCTCTATTGCGCAGGAAAAATTCTAAACTTCTGCTCTGTAAGATTCTTACCCGATCTTCGCCAATTCGGTGAACTGGCCATTGTGACTGGCGTACATACCCATAACGGACTGCTTGAACAGATGAATCTCTGTCAATTGGCAGATCTTGATCGGATCGAACATTCTCTCGACGTAGGGATACGCCGTGTTCGGATCCGTGTGATAGGCCAGAATACCCTCGCTCACTTGCCTCATACCCTCTTCTATCGGTAAATATCGCTTGGATTCCGGCAGAGGATCCCAGCGTTTCTTTCTGAAGTAATTCGATTCCGAGTTGAGTTTCTGCAAGTTTAAAACATCGAAAAACACAACACGACGTTCGTGAAACATCTCGTGAGTTCGATACGCGGATGAATTTTCTCTGTGAAAAAAATGCGTACGTATAGAAAGTAATTCAGATACGGCACAGCCTCCGCGGCAATTCTCAGCTCACTGTCTGCGAGAACCGTTACGTCATCTTCCATCATGTCGAGGGGCTCGCTCAAACGAGCTGACACTATACTGCCCGAGTAATAGTAATATATAATCAAGTTGAACAGGATGATCTGCAGAAGAGCGATGCGACCCGGAATGTGTTTGGGAAAGAAATTCGCACCTGCGACGAAGACATTGTTCATTAAACTGTCAAAACTATGCCTGACGTTATTTCTCTTACCTTGCTGGGCAACAATTCCGATGGTAAGAACCATGGCGCTAGAATTTTCTTCTTCCTTGGTCGACTCCTCGCATTTCATTATTATTTTCATGACGAACATAGAGAGCACCACAAACACGGCGTTCAGGTACCAGGTCTGGCGCGCAAATGGTTTCAGAAAAATTTCGAGCTTGATGTTGTTCGATGACGTGGACAGCAGCATGAAGCAAGGTCTGTATGAGAAAGAGGATAAAAGAGAGAGATAGGATCTTAAACAATGTCATTATTAATTCAATCAAAGCGTCTAAAAGGAGCGAAATATTAATATACCGAATCGGCCAGGCCGCGCCGATGAGATTGGCGTAATCCAATCTCTCGGATACCATAATTCGGGGGTTGCTAGCAAAGTCGATGTAATTCGTCTGTAGTATCTCGAATATCAAGCCGTGCACGCTGTGGCGATCCCAGTAAATTATCTCCGACGCATGCACACTTGAAAAGAAAATTTTGGGAACGGTTTAGCTGGAGATATACAAAACTTTTGGAAATCTATTTAAGAAAAACAAGAGGGAGAGAGACGAGTACGTGAAATTGAAGAGATCGGCGGTGTGAGATATCATCGCGTACACGAACTTGTGCATGCTGTCCAATGATCTGGTATTAATGTCGTGCATGTAATCCTCCAACCGCATATTTTTCGGTCTGTATTGTATCTGTGTGTGATATAAAAAAAAAAGTATTTAATACAAAAAAAATAGAAACCACTACTACTAGTACATATATATTAATCATATTTATTCAACAATTGCAAACCACGCCAGAGATCTTCAGTGTCATGCCGTGCATATTGGCTCTTCTCTGAACCAAAGGCTGGGTTAGATTGATGGTAAGGCCTGTTTCTTGCCGCCACGAGCCCAAACTCGTCACATTCAAGGTGCCTCCTCGATATTTGCAGTGATTGTAAACGTCGTACAGATCGTAACCGTTGCTGTTCATTATCGCGAGCACGAAATCGGTCGTCATGCTGTAAGCGCTGTCGTTCAAAAGCGACACGCTACTGTTGAGCGTTGATCCCAGAACCAACCAGTGATACGCGTAGTCGTACATACGATACTTGGAAGTCTTGACATATTAACGTTTGTTTTTATTTATTTTGGTTTTTTTTTTGTATCAAAAAGAGAAATGTTCAAAGTGACTTTATAATATTATAGGATTATTTACCTCGGCAAAGATAATCACGGCGCTTTCGTTCTGACAACGCAAATCCACGACGACTCCCAAACTCCAAGTCTCGGTGTTCAAGAATTGTCGCATGTTGATGGTTCTGTCGTGTTTCCTGATGATCGTGAATATACCGGCTCTGCTCAATGACTTCACGAAGTAAAAGTCGTCTATAGTGTAAAAAATAAAGACACGGAGGAGGAAATATGCGGTAGTTTTTAATTCTATTTTAATTATCTATAAGTAAATTTTTTATTTTTTTTTTAATATTGTTCCGAGTAAGCTGTAAAATCAATTCACCTACTTGTGGCGTTTCCACAAGAGAATCCCACCACATTCCGCACTGCCTTGTGCACAAAGTAGTCGTGGATAAATTCGCTGTCCATTGCGCAAACATTGAACATGAATCGCATTAGAGCATAAAAAAACGCTACGTACGTTCTATTGCGTTTCATTTCTTTTAATTACCAAACACTGTGCGATTATTAAAGAAACCCGCACGATTTTGCGTAACATCGAGTTTGCTGGCACAGATACGAATGAAAGTAGATATTGTAGAAAGAACAGAAAATACAGTTCGATTAATTTTACAGAGTCATAGCTGCAGCTATGAATTGTTTATCAATGATGAAATATTAAATTCGATATTGAAGTTTGTGTCTTATTGTTTATTTATGTCTACATCGGACATTACAATTTTGACGTTGGTTAATTTATTTATAATTTTACGTCTAACAGATAAATATAGACTATTTCTTAAAATCTAATAATATTTAATATTGTTTTTTGTTTATTCACGCGAGAAAATTTTTTCCTGAGCGATGGGTATGCGTTTCGTCAATTCCGCTAGGCGTAGATTCTGCTGTATATTTTGTAGTTTCTCTGTAGGTATTGATCTATATAAAAAAAACAGTTGAGATTAAATCTTGAGAATGATATTGTTCTTGTGTTTTTCAATATTTGTTCTTTCGTTTAATCGCAGATTGTTACCGGTCGTCGTCAGACCGCATCCAATAAATGAGGTTCTCCGCTATGCAGATCACTAAGGACAGCGCGATGGAAATGCCGATAAACACGAAGACCGGCGTGGCTTCTTGAATCGACAGCGGTTCGGCAACCAACATGTTCCTCGGGCAAAAGGGTTTCCTCGCCGACCAGCGCTTCAGTTGTCGCTTTCTTATACCCACGTCGTACATCTTAGCTAAGCTAAACGGTCGTGTATATAATTGTTGATACTAGGTACTGATATATTTGGGAGAAGCGATGATAATCAAATTATAATTCTCTTACCCGATTTTCAATAGCGGAGTGAACGGGCTCCTGTGTCTGGCCCAAAGCGCCAAGACCGTGCGGAAGAGGTGGACCTCCGTCAGCTCGCATATCATTCGTGAATTGTAATGTCGATCGATGTACGAATACGCGGAATCGACCGACGCGTGATAAGCCAAGCCGCCCTTAGCCACGCGATTCAAACCTTCCGCGAGCGGCAAGTACCGTTTTGCCTCCGGTATCTTGTCCCATCGTTTCGCGATGAAATATCGCACTTCCTCTTCCGTTGACTTTCGAAAGAATCACAAATGCAAAATATGTATAGAAAAGCAGCATATTAACTCTTCGACAATAGACTTAGAATCTCTTTATCGACCTTTCTCTCTCCCTTATAACATAAATTCTACTTTTTGCAAAATTTTTATCTTTCAACGCGGGAGTCAATTGAAGGGTAGGAAAAACAATCCGATCCGCTGGTCGAGGATCAAGTAAGTGTTAACAAAATATGAACGCAATAATCTGTTGTGTACCTGTAAAAAGGAATTAACGTATGGCGTGGGTTCAGCCGCTACTTTAAGATTGCTGTTTGCCAAGTCGATCAGCGAGTCGCTCATTTTCTCGTCTATGTTCTTCAACCGGTCTGATACGACGCTCGCCGAATAGTAGTTCAGGATTAACACGCTGAAAATCATGACGTGCACAAACGCAATGCGGCTCGAGTAACGATCCGGAACGAATACGGAACCTACGAAGAACGCAGTCATCCACAAAAAAAAACGTCCTCCGTGTTTTTTTTTCATTATATTTACAACTTGTATAAATTGACAAAATAATGTAAATCTGAAAGAGCTTGTTAACGAGTTACCTTGTTGGGACATAGCGCCTATGGTAAAAAGAAAAGAAATGCTGTAGCCCTCTTTCCAACTGCGAATGCCTTCTTGTCTGATTAATATCACCAAAATCGATGTGGCGACTATTATCGTGCAGATTATCACGTACCACACCTTAACGTCTAACGGCCGCACAAATTGCTCCGTTTTCATATTTGCTGAGGATATCGTTCGGAAGAGAAAGCAGGACCTGTACGAATACGCGTAATAGTTACGAGTGTGAAACTCATTGCTGTGCGGTGTCAGGTATATGTTACATTCTGATCTCTTCTCTTGAAATTTCTAATAATCAATGTTTTTGTAATGAATATTTGAAGTGTACATCGCGAGAGAAATGACGTTACCGCATGGGCCACACCGGACCAATGATATCCCCCATTCGCAATTTCTCTGACTTTATCATAATTGGACTAGCCGAGATGTCTATCATTTTTTTCTGAAAAGCGACAAACATCGGCGCGGAGTTGTCCTGTCGTTTTTTCGGATTCACCTCCACAAATTCCACACTACAATAGAAAGAAAGAAACAATATCTACAGGAAAAGACAGGGCGTGGAAAGTGAAGTTCTTACGTGAAGTTAAAAAGATCGGCCATGTGCAGCAAGAGCGTGTACAGAAATTGGGATCGACCGTATTTCGCTTTCATGTCGGGATCGATCATGATCTCTTCCGTCGACGTGTTGTAGAACTTTTGCGGCAGCTGCGAGAGATCTCAGAACAATAAACCCGCGAAACTATCGTACATATGTAAACGGAAAACCGTGCGAGCTGATCGATCACTTACTAAGATTCCCATTCGAAGTTTCATGCCGTGCAAGTTTGATCTTCTCTCGTACTTCGACTGTCTAAGTTTAATCGCCACGCCGGATTTCTCGGTCCAGTATCCCAGCGCGGTAACATTCAAAGAACCGCCGCGCGCTTTGCACGGATTGTACACGTCGTACAGATCGTAACCGGTGAGAGACGGCACGGCGATCGTGACATCGGTCACTATACCGAACGCGTCGTCGTTCAGCAATTTCACGGTGTCGTTCAACTTACGTCCCAAAATCAGCCATTTACGCGTCTCGTCGTACATGAGATACTTCGTGGCCTTAAATTAAGCGCAATCCACAAATAATTATTTTTTTCTCTTCTCTTTCAACACATTTCTTAATCTTTCTTACGACTTTTTAAATGTTATTTCCTTCGCATTAATAATACAATATTTTTTTATAATTTCAGATTTTCTACGGGATATTTAAAAGATATTTAACTTCTTCAGACGAGATCTCATCTTTTTTACCTCGGAATAAATCACGGTGTAATTGTGTTCGTCGCACCGCGCGTCCACGTAAACGCCTAAATTGCGATAATTGGTCTGCAAAAGCGTCCTCACGGTGTGCGCCGGTAACGCGATTACAGAGTTGAAATTCCACATCGCCGTCAATACAAAAACGTCGTTGAGCGTCTTAGCGAATTTTACATCGTCTGCCCGTGAAAGAAACCATATTGCTTGTATAAGGTAATGCAAAAATGCGTATACATACTTATAAATAAATATACATGTATTTTTTTCACGCGCACTTTCGAGACTGCCGCAAGAAAATCCCACGATGCTGGAGACGCCCTTGTGCATGAAATAATCGCGGACCATGATATTGTCGTTTACACAGGAAACGAGCACCAGATGCGAGAGAAGCAGTAACGTCCGTCTTTCGAGAACCATTTCTCTTTTAAAATTACATGATTACGTTGCGGGATTGCTCGAGGAACTTGAAGGAGGATAGACCACAGTTGTTTCTCTGACGTTCATTGCGTCGTGAAATATTCATCGCACGAGCTTCTCGTGCATGAATGTTTCATTTTAAGTATTCGTTTCACATATGATATATGTGCAATAATTTCTTCAATCGATCCGCACACTCATCTATTTTCTATCGTTTTTCGTCTGATGATCCCATGCTATGCTCTGGCTTAAAATTTTTAGCGTTATTTCGGAATTACGACCAGAAAATTAGCAATAAAATGTTTTTATTGGAAATATAAGAGATTTTTTTAACACATTGACTGCCCGGTGGTCATCTGTGACCGACATTATTACAGTTTTTTTAGAATGATTAAACTTCAAAAAAAGTAAAACAGTTTATCAAGAGTAACTGAATGCATAGAGCCATAATGGGCACGAGTGACCACCAGCGATAAAATTTGAGTGGCAATCAACGTGTTGTAAGGAAAATTTATAGAAAAAAGTGTGGCAACATTGTGTACAAATAGGACACTGATTTAAAATCACAGTCTCACAGTTAATGTAATTTGTACTCTTTTCGAATGCATCAGGCATTACGTATATTAAGGGTACATTCTGACACGGTGCGCGCTCAGTGAATCGAGAAAATTATAAATAAGGTAACTTATAAATGACTAGTAAACATTATATTGAACGCGATCCCAGTCGTAAGTTCGTGAGTTTGTCAAAAAATTTCCGAGCTAAAATCCATTGGAAATCGACGGGATCGCTCATTGCAGGGCGTATGGCGGAGTGTCGTTGGTCATAAGGTAAAATTTTCCACGTAGCCTGGACAAAAAAAAAAAACAAATCTCTCATCAGATCGGAGAAACAATTGCAACACACAACTAGAAAATCTTAATTGAAGATGTGAAAAAGAATTTGTCTTACGATGTAGAGACGTATTCGCCCATCAAAACAATCGGATTGTAATCGCAGAGTCGCTCCTTGTACCTCTCCCAACTTTCGCACATTCGCGCCTTGAACCCCACCGTGCTGCCGATGCTCTCTGTCATGAGCTGATGAGCTCGCGAATGGCTGCAATAAGCTGCGCACGTAGAAACGGTATTAAAATTTTGCGCGTATATTTAAGAGAAAGACTTTTACAATGTTTAGAGGTTTTTTAATAATTTGATAACAAAAAAATGTGTACATTGACTGTTTGTTATTTCACTTACTTATTGTAGGCACGAAAGAGCACCCGGGCTGAGGAATCTTGCCGTTGTTGGGATAGAAGTCGGCATGTCCGAGCGGCGCCAGGGATCCGAACACCGGACCGCTGGTGTGGATCACGTCCACGAATTGCGCATCCGTCGGATCCAGTCGGTATTCCGGATCGACGATTCCGGTGATGGTCTCGAACAGCGGACTCGCCGGATCCAATCCTTTCGCAAAAAATTTACAGGATATAACGAAAATTATATTACACATTAACGCGTGTATATAACAAGTAATGTAACAGTCGCGCGTTACCTGTTATTCTTCCGATACGACCGTCGTGATAAGCGCCGGCAAAGCCCGCCACATAAGAACCCAGGCTGTGACCGCTGATGTGCACATCCTTGTACTCCAGATTCGAGTCTCGGCTCAAGAACTCGAGAAACTGGCCCAAATATTGGCCGACGATGCGCGTGTTTTTGGCCGCCGTCGGATAGGCGTCAGCCGCCAGAATTCCCCAACCGACGACTATCACGTTCACATCCTGATAAAGCAGATACGCTAAAAATGCAATAAATGTTACATATCTAATTTGTATTCGCAGCGAGAAGAGAAGAAGGCGCGACATTTAATTTTTTAATTTAATTGTTTTCGGACGTTGAGAATTTTATGATTCTCATGTACTATGTGTTTGATGATGTACAAAAACAAAAATTACATTTCCAGAGAGTTGAAATATCCAATATAGATTTTATCGACAATTTTTCTCGGCATTTGACCGACGCGACGTCGAGTTCAATCGCGACGTCTCGTCGATGTTGAGCAACGATATTTTACTGAACATCTTATCGGAATATTCGGTATCGCAACTCTCGACGCCGGCAAAGTCGCGCCGATAAAACATTGGTCGGTACTTTTTTTAAATGTAATTCTTTATATGAAAAAAAAAATAATAATAATTTCAAAACTCTTCCGCGAACTGTCTTTTGGCGAGAGAAAGCAAAACCTTGCGAAAACGATTAATTAGGCCGTTATCGCGCTGACTCTTGAACCGGTCGCGACGTTGTCGATTCCGTGTTTACCGAAATAAGCTGACCCTGATTGTTTGCGAAAGTAAGTACAGTATTGCGGAGAGAGCGAAAGAGAAAGAGCAGAGTGACGCAACATACACACACACACTTGATTCCACCCACCATCTATTAGATCTCGTATCCAGCCCTCGTTTCCGGTATCGCTGAATCCGTGGACGATGAGCTTGGTCGGTCTGCTCTCGTTGAAATGCGACGCGTACAGCACCTCGGTGTTGTTCAGGAACAACTGCTCCTCGCCGAACGGATTTTCCCTGCAATGTCGTAAGAATTATAACAAATCGATATTGCGCGTTGACAATTTTGGAGAGTAAATTTGCGGAACACAAAAACGCGTAGTACGATTAATTTTTGTCGCGAGGAAATAGTAAAATTTTGGCGCATAAAGGAAGAATTTCTTCTTTTGATTGGTTTCTCTGTTTTTTTTTTTTTCAGAAAAAGAAAACGAAGAAAAGAAACGAACAAGAGTAAAAAAAACAAGAAGAGAGAGTCGATCCCGGAGCTGCGATATTCAGACGTCGACGTGACGCGCGACGCGGCGCCTCGGTTATTCGATAGTCAATCAAACGTCAGCGCTGAGAATAGAATACTTGCTGATTGCACGTATCATTAAAAAAATTGATGCATCCTCCTCGCGACTCAAGCCCGCGATAACGTGTCAGGGTGCATGGAAATTAGCCGCGTCGGCGTGTGATTGATTCCCGATCGGCGCCAAGATACTTCTCCCTTGACCAATCATGTGAATATACGTAAATTATCGTGTAGAAAAAAAAATATTTCTTTTCTTTTTTCTCTCTCTCTCTCTTTCTCTCTCTCTCCTTCTCCCTCTCCTCCTCACGAAGAAATATCCGTACCGTTCGCGGCGAGCGGTACGGATAATGCGCAATATATTGTACAGCTAAAGTTTAAAACTAATTTCTGCCTTTTCCAAATTTTTAATAAACAGAAAATAATACGTGACTAAAGGAGATCCAAATACGGTTCTTTTTTTTATGTTTTACTATTATGAATAAATTGCGAACAATTGGGCGATGCAGTCTTTATCAGCTTTCGAGTTGTGACGTTAAATTAGAGCGTGATGTGCAAATTATGGACTAATTCTTCATTCTTTATTCATTCTGTTCTCATCTCTTTCTTTTTCTCTCTCTCTCTTTCTCGTAATTAAGTGAATATTTTTATCAATGTGATCTCGTAAAAAACCTGCGTATACAACAATGATAACACAACTGTACATACCTGGTGTACAATTTGAAGGTAGCCGGTTCACGTTCTACCGCTGTCTGGACGATCGATGTTTGTGCGTCGTCTCTCATTGTCAGTATTGTCTCTTCCGGATACGCTAGAATCGAACAAGTGAAAAATTGATCGATCAATTCGTTAGACGTAAAAAAAAAAAAACTCAAACAGTACGAAACTACAGAAAATAAAAATAGAAAGAGAGTTGCTTATCGGTCAAAAACAAGATACATCGAACAACCGATTTGATTGATACCTGACCGAACGAGAAAGATGATCGAAAGAACGAGAAACTTGGTGACTGACATGGTTGTTCGTAAGGACGCACACCGGCCAAGATGCATTGGATTACTACTTTTTAACTTGGTCAGCTTAACGTCCAGTCGTCATTCATCCCGCGCGCGCTCTCTTTTTGCTCTTTGATCAGCTCGAGGGAGTAAGCGCGATAAGAGGAGCGTCTAACGTGCCAAAGAGCTTTAATTTGTTATATAATATATATTACACGAGTATTTTATTGTAACACGAGTATGTCTGTGTGTTTTTAGATTTTTCAATTTAAACGGAGTGGAAATGTTTTACCTACTCGTTTGCATCCTCTCTTCAAAAAAAACTTGTTCCCATCCGATCTCATCGTCCATGAACGCGTTGAGAACGCAATTTTAATTTCTACTTGGAATTTAAATCTCGAGCGCTGTAGCGTCACGTGACATCAACGCGTGCGCATATCGTCCCGGTTCGTATCGTTTGTTTATTTCACGATCGTCACACAGTCGTCGTATTCGATGTGACAGTTTTTCCAACCTCTGTACAAGTCGGTTTGATTTTTGGTTTTGCAATTGCTTACAGACAACCGGAACACTTCACTTATATGCTATTCTGAAAATTCATTTTATTCAGTCTGAAAGAACGAATGTGTAGATCATCTTTCTATAATTTTAAGCAGACTCTGAACTACTGATTTTGAAACGTCACTTGAGGAATTTTGCTGCTGCGTGTTGCAAATTCACACAAGACTGATATTTTCATCATAACAAGTCTTTCCTGGTTCGAAACGACACTTTTGTTGACTATTATAATTTTGTGTTTCTTTTTTTTTTTGCATAAAAAGTGATTATACGATCATCAAAATTGTGCTGAGAGACGAATAGTAAATATTTACCAGTTTGCATTTATTTGTCGTTAAAAGTGAGGTGTGAATATACAAGCCAATGTGTAATCTTCCGAATCACTGATTTAAACGAGTTCGTCAGTACACCATGTCGCCAGATCCCACACAAGAACCTATTCAAGAGAATCTATCAGTATCCAATGTATCCTTAGATGCGAGTGTAATAAATGATGAGGAAACCAGTGACGATGAGAACATAGGAATCACAGGTTATCAGCCGTTATCACAAGTACCTACAGATGCCGATCCTTTGCTGGACAATGAAGAGGTATATGTTATAACAAATTAAAGTAGTAATATTTTCTATTTGTTTTCACAAATAATCTGATGATCTCTTTTTGAGTAATTGATCTCTTACATTTTGCTTCAGAATGAAGAATGGTTATCCAGATTTGATGAAGAATCTATTCGACCATCATCCGATCCAATAGTGGAGACTCAAGTAAGCAAGTAAACGTAAAGGAAATATTTATTGAATGTGTGAAAGAATATAATTAAAAAATAATTTTAGTTGCGAGCATTTGGGATTAGCAAAAAGAATTTTGATTTCTGTCATTTTCTGATAATCAGAAAAAACTTTGGTTTGCTGTTTCAGAATTGTCCTTCAGAGATACAGCAAGTCTGGTCATGTTCGAGCAATCGCTCTGATATTGACCTAGATGCGACTAAAATCAAAGAAGTAAAATCCGTTATGGCGTCCATCAAGCTTCCTGAAACTTCCATTCCACAATGGGCAAATACAATCTCAGAGGATCAATGGAAAGAGCAGCTTCTTGTTCGCATTAGAGAGATACAGAATAAAAATAGAGATCAAGGTGCAATGTAGTTTGTAATTATATAGCAAATGTGATCTTTATAAGAAGACAATTTACATATATGGAATATTTGAAATAATTTATCATACTATAAAAAAGTACAGATACGACGCTGAGATGTTCAGTTGTTACTGTGTCAAATGTTTTTAACCCTTTGCATGCCTGGCAACAAATAATTTCATGTTATGATGAAATCTGTGAGACTTTACAAAAAAGTCGATTTTTAACGGATAGATTAAAAATATCAATTAATTTGATTATTTATGAATAATACTTAGATTTGTTGATTAAAAAAAAGAAAATAAGAATTAAAAAATCTTTAGTTATAACCAAAAAAATGTTTTACGTTTTTTATTTTGAAAAAAGATAGGATTTATTAGATTCCGCCGAGCATGCAAAGAGTTACTCAACAAATAGCTTTTTGCAAATTGTTATTTTTTCAATGATGTCTTTAACAGAGTTTACTTAAAGTTTTTTTTATTAGGATTATTTTTATTTTGGAAGAAAGATTAATTTTATTTTTCTTTAATTATAATAGGCTGTCTCTCAAGAATGATTTATGAACAGTTTAGGAAGCTTAATTAAGTTAAGAAAAATATAATTCTGAATATGATTTTAACATTATTTCGTTTATAACGTATATAAAATAAATAACATTTCTGCAAAGACATAACATTAGACGTCTAATAAACATCTATGTGATGTCTAATGAACATCTAGTGAAAGTTTGTATAGAATGTTGTTCCATGTGGGATTAGACATCCATAGCTTCATGTGACACGTAATGAACGTCTAATGAAGAGTTTTGTAGATTTTTGTTTTATATGCGGATTGTATAATGTGAGAGAAAAATAATTAAGGAGTATTAATTAAATTGTGAAGTATATATTATTGTTATTTTTTTATATAGTATGTTATTTGAAAGCAGATTATAAGAGATACATGATGCATTAGTTCAATTAATAAACATTGATGTATAAATTCGAAGTGAAACACATGATATCTTCACATGATATCTTTTATATCAGATTTCACAGTATATAATATATGTATACACATATATTCTGTGAAATTTGATTTTACTTTTTAATCTCGCATGAGATGCTTGAATCCCATTTCGATAGTGTTTTTTGCCACGTAAATAATATGATTGAAGAAGAGACAAAGTTTAATTCTATAGTTCAAACTCTGCATCAATAGCAGCAGCTTTGGATGGATTGAGCTTCTTTCGTAAACCGGCAACATCGTCTTCTATTCTTATCAATTTCCGATATTTCTGAAATAGAAAAAAGTATATATAAAATTTTGTGTACACATAGAAGGATGAATTTTTTTAATTTTAAAAATTGATTGTGCGTACGTCAATAAATTTGTGTAATAAAAATTACACTCATTTATTATTTCGCTTTGACATCTGCGTCGATTCTTAAAAGCGTTTATTTGAATTCCTAATTTTTAAATAGTTGGCAGATAGATATTTGATTATTAATTATATCAAAGATTAATCTATGCTACATTTACAATTTGGAAACAAAAGTGGATTTTTTATACATGTGTGTAATTACAGCGACTTATTGGCAACATAATGAAAAAGTAGTTGTGGTACTCAAACCAAAATAGTTCTTACATCAATCAAAATAAATATTGCACACTTACTTCTGAGGTAGTTCCCGATGTAACACTCCAGATGTAGATCATGTAACCTGGAATACACAACATCGAGGAGAGGCCAGCAAGCCATCCTAACAAATGGCTCCACCATGGAAATTCGTATGTAAGATATTTCACAGGAACGAATTTAATGATATTGAAGATGAAGACACCCTAATAATACACAAGATGAAAGAATGTGACAACATGGTTTACAATTCTGAATCAGATAAAATTAAGGCCTTACCACGCAAATGGCAGGTGTGGTAAACGTCCAGCAGATCTTCCACCAGAAGCAAGGATAGTAGCCTATCATGTCTCGTATGCCATCGTAAAATCGGCCCACTCCGAATGCCCACGACACGGAGATACACTCGAAGAACATCAGGAAAAGTAAGCAAAATCCACTCACGGCGTACGTGTCCAGCAGTTGAAACACGTACATTCCGCCCTGAAAATGAAATCGTTTTTTATTATAGTTGCTTTTGAATAAAGAAGATTCTTTAATCTTTATTAAGAAAATCCTGGAACGACGGTCAAACTTCGATTCGACCGCTCAACCAATCTTTAGACCGAGACGAGCTCTAATCGCTGTTTCTCATTCGTCTTTCAAACGAACGAATATTGTTACGCTCATTGCGCGTCACATACTGTTTAGGGCCGGTCTGATTGCACGTGTCGTAAATGAATTACAAGATAGAACGTCTCGAGAAAGAAGGTCAAGGCAAAAGGTCGCGGTCATCGTTGAGAACAAACGAATTCTCCAATGAAGTCCAAAGGTCACACGATGATCACGAAGAAAACAAATTTTTTGTTAGATGTTACTATTAAGTAGAGGAGTTTTGAATACTCCATCTTTCATTATACACATTAAAACATATAAAATCGTAAAAACTTCAATTAATTAAACATCACTTAAGCATTTATTATAGTTTAATCCTTTTTGAAAATGTTTTGTCAATTTTGCTGAAACATTTATATCGTGAAGATTTTACAGTGAGAAAATAAAAATCAGATTTTCACAAAGAGAAAATGCAAAATGCGTAGGTAATCCATTATACGCGCTTTAAGACTTGTTAAATATACTCACTTCCGTGACGCATAGAAGTCCGATCAGATAAGAGATCAAGCATACGATTGCGATGAACAGTTCTTTCCGTTTTCTGAGCAGTCGCGGCCACTCGTCTACGGCGGCGGTGATGAAACCTTCCATGGTGCAGAACTATAGAGGAAACGCAACTTGGTCTTTAACATTGATATTAATCCGCGCAGTTCCGGGAAAACGGGTGCCAAGATTGAATTCGACAAGTCCGTGTTACCTGACTGTCTAATCCTATCAGTAGCAGCATGAAAAAGAAGAGACTCGACCAAATCGATGCTCCGGGCAATTGCAACACTGCCGAGGGATAAACCAAAAAAGCCAAACCCGGTCCTAGGTCGAAAATATTAAAAATATGTATACAGGATGTCTTTAAGGAAAAAGGAAGAAAAAAAGAAACGCTGGAAGCAGCTAACTACCGGAAGCAGCCACATCGGCAACTGGTTTTTGTTGCTCGTGTGCCATGAAACCGACCACGGAGAATATGACCACTCCGCTGAGCAGACTGGTGCAAGTATTCACTCCGCATACAATAAGAGCATCTCTGCAACATATCGACAAGATTAAATTATTCTTGCGAGAAGAATTTTCATTTCTGTATATTTAATTTTAAAGAGAAAAAATAGAAAAAAATATACAAGAGAATAAAATGAGAAGGTAATTCAACCACAAATAATTATAAATATCGTTATTTCTTACAGTATTGTCTATTATCAAGTTGTTGATAGATAAGTCGGATTCAAAGAGAGATGCAACTATGTTTTTTTACAGAGCGAAGTGTATACACGAAGTGTAAAGCAGCGATTGAGTACTGCAACGATAATAGATCGAAGGTGCTTACTTGTAAACGTTATTGTTGAATTTGTTGTAACTGCCTAGAGCTACCAGCGCGCCTAGGCCGAGGGCGTAAGTGAAGAATATCTGCGTCACTGCGTCTATCCATACCTACACGATAATCGCGCAATGACACTTGTGTTTTCCAAGTCCGTATTAACGAGAAATCGGCATTACGGTTAACAACAGAGTTTTACCTCGGGATCGCCGAGCTTCGAGAGATTCGGCGTGGCGTAATACTTTAGACCCTCCGAAGCGCCGGGCAGCGTCAAACCTCTCACGAGCAGCACCGCCAGCAAGGCGTACGGAAACAGCGCCGTGAAATAGACAACCTAAATCACATCCTGCGTTATACACGTTACTGCCCTCAACAGAGCGAAGAGGGTGAGGATACGTTTATTTTTTTTTTTTTCGAACGAGCTCGCGCCTCACCTTGCCGGTCCATTTGACACCCTTCCAGATGCAGAAGTAACACATAACCCACACGACGGCGAGCGTGCCGGCCAGTTCCCATCGTATACCACCCATATCTTCGATGCCCGAGGAAATCATCAGAGTTCGCCTCCTTTTGTAAGGAAAAAAAACGTAATTTCGCTTTACTCCGATTGATCAGCACAGAAACGTAAACTAGGTAAATAACTTACTCCCAAAACTCCTTCACCGGGTCCTTCAGTAACTCGTGACTCAGGTTCCCGACGGACGTGGCGCATATGAGGTCGTTCGGCCAGTAATCGTCGTGCCAGCACGTGGCGTTCAAACGTTCGTCGGGCGTGATGCAATAGCGCGTGTTCCACGCGTTGTCGCAGGTTCTCCAGGGTACGTCTACAAGATTCACATCAGATAGATTTCAAACTGAAGTCAAATTTAAGATTAAAAAATAAGCAAAAGAGTGTTGAATGACGACACCAAAGCGTTGAAAACGCCGCGTTTCGAAGTCACACGCTCACCAGCTCGCAGAGAGACTAGGAAGTAGAAGAGCGCCCAAGCGAGAATGATTATGTAATACACATTGGTCCAGCAGGAGAGCACGCAAGTCGCATATCCGATACCTGCGGAGATCGACATTGCCAACGTTGTTACAGGAAGTGTGTCAAGAAGATTCACTCATCAGCGAGATAATCCCGAATGAATTTACCTTTAAATAATGGCGCTATCTTGAAAACACCTAGACCGCCGATCGTCAGCATCTGTCCCAAGGACAGTTCCATCAGGAACATCGGTATACCGGCCAGCGCGAGCGCTATGAAATACGGCACCATGAAGGCGCCGCCGCCATTCTTGTAGCAAAGGTAAGGAAATCGCCATAGATTTCCCAGACCTATCGCCAGCCCCACGACGGACAGAATAAACTCGATCTTTAAACGAGAAAAAAAAATAATAATAGGTGAGTACTTTGAATGTTGAGATGGTAGTATCAACAAAGAATAAAAATATGTGTTACCTTGCTGCTCCAGTTCCCTCGTTCCGGCAGATCCTTGGCTCGTATTTTGATGATGGAGGACTGTCGCAGGCACTGTATGGCCTCAAAACGGAAGTCCGATTCCTTTCCGCTGTTAGAAGTGCGGTTGTTCACCGGCTCGGAAAAAAGAGCTTTCAGCTCCTGCACCGGATTCGCGGTGCTCGCCGCCGGTTTTCGCGGAAGAGGACTCGTGGATCTGTCTACCTTAGGACGGCCCGGGGTGGTCGGCTCCTTCGAAGGCATTTTTTTGCGACGGCGAAATCGCGAAACGAGATCGAAATCGAAGGACGGATCACGTCATCCCTATCGGCCGTTGGGAGTGAAAACCAGCTCGTGAACGCGTAGTTAAGTGCGTGTGTATATATATGTATGTACGCTCTTTTCTCCGATTAAAACGCTGGAGCGAAGTCGTCGAAAGCGAACAGAAGAAAGGAACGAAGAGCTGATTGATGTAACTGTCGTCTATATGTTGGGAAATGTTTTCTCGGTCTTATCTACTAGCCACACGTTGAACTTCGACGAAACGGGAAAATCCCTCGGGAGCAGCTGCACGTGTTGCGTCCGAACTTGAGTGCACACAGAAGATGACGATAAAAATCTTAATGTAAGTAATACTCGCGCGGGATCTCTCGCATAATATTCATCGCGGTCGTCGTCGTCGTCGAGCGCGAGGTGCGTACAAGGTATGACATATAGTAGACAAGGGTCTTGATGATGACGGACGATAGATAACGAGCTACTTCCGGGAATCATAGCGTTCGCCGAATGCGTTCTCATCGTCACAACCTTGTCCTATTTTATGATTTAACTCATGGTGTCCTATACAATTGCGCGATGTGTACCCGTCTCATGTGTGTGTGTGTGTGTGTGTGTCTTTCGCGATAACACGGCGAAAAAATTCCGTCTTTCGCGCATTTCGCGGATGTTTTATAATCGTTCGAAATAATCGATTAAGTCGTGCGTTTCAATTTGAATTGCAAATCGACTCGAGCAATAAGTAGCTGTGAATGGTAGCAGTGAATGTGGTAACAGCAACGCGCAACGGAAGTAATCTCTGTTTCGTTATATAAATATCGTTTTTTTAGAAAAAAAAAAAGCGAAAACTAAGTTTGACACCAAGAAGAACACCCGACTCGCGATACATTTGCATGGAAATGAGTGATGCAATATCACTGCTATTGTATCACAATCGACCGCGCGTACGTGCTCTTACATCGTGCTCCTATATACACCCCGATTGATGTTTTTTCTGTTTCTTACCTTTCGGTGTCCTCGCGCTGATTCCTATTCCTGCATTCTCCGAATGTGTCCCGCCGAAGTACGCTGTTCCCTTTCTTTCACGATAATCGTATCCGCGCGAGAGAAGTCACTTTTTTTTACTGTTATTTCAGCAGAATGCGGAATTCCCCGGAGGAGCCGAGGACACCCCGTTTCGTAACGTTAACCGGACGTTCGACCGAGCAGGACTTCGAGGAAGGGCCCTCGCGGATGCAGAGATTTCTGCCGTACCCCGTCGCGATCTACCCCACAATGACACGCTCAGTCCCCCTCAAGCATGAACCTATCTTTCCATTCAACAAATTAATGCCACAGTGTCACTCTATATTTAGGCTGCTCGTGCGGCACGAAGAGAGAGAAGATCGGTTGTACGCGCGCGAATCACTGCGGCCGATTCGTTACGCGAAACAATGTTTTCTACTTCTTTTTACTTACCTTCATAAGCGCGCGTGGGTCTTCCGACGCGATAATCATGTCTACATTAATTCGCAGGAGTACCACTTATTTGTTAACGCACTACGAAAAAAGTACAAATGTACGATCGGTCATGCTTTGTGTCCTGAGATGAGATAAAACGCTAAAAAAACGCTCAAAATATGTTTAAAGCGGCCACTTTTTTTTATTATTATTTCAATAATTGTAGTTAGTTTTAAAGTTATTTGTTAGACTCGGTTTATATTTGTTTATTGTTTGTTTTTTACTTATTAACAGTAGTAAACAAGATTTCCCACACAACACGAGTGACTGATTGTCGACTTACAGTCGACCTTTTTCAGCCAACTTATAGTCAACTTTTAAAAGTTGACTTTAAGTTGACTTTTAAAAATCGACTATAAATTGACTAGAGTCGACTATTTGCCGATAATTAGATGGTTTTGAAAGATAAACTAAACATAATTGTATTTAATCAGCAAGGTGATGAAGGCTCCAAATATCCAAGATAAACACAGTAATGTGACAAGGCCAATGGGAGCACAAACACTGTTGCTTGTGTGTTGAAAATTTTTTGAATATATAGAGTGTACAAACATTTCAACACACAAACAGCAGTGTTCGTGCTCCCATTTGTCTTGCCACTTTACTTTTAAATTGTTTATCTTGGATAATTGTATTTGTCATCGCGCTAAACATGCTATATTTACGCATTTGTGTGTATATCTGACGCCTCCAGTCTCAGTAAGTGTCAATTAATCATTGTGATCATTGCGTCGGTTGTTTTTTAAGTATATTTTGAGAATACTGAAAAGTATATAATAATATACTATTTTTCGACTTAAAGTTAACTTAAAGTCGACTTTTCAACGGTTGATTATGAGTCGACGGCAGTGATCACAGTTTTGAGACGCTTACAGCATGCAGCAGTGTGAAGGGTATGCGCACAATACCAGCAAGCATACATATGTATGTGTACAAAGAGCACATATGTGTTTGATTTGTGTTTTCACAATATTTATGTTCCGCTGTTTCTATTTTCTTTTGTTTCTCTCAAAGGATATTTCTACTGATCTTCAATAAATGCAACAAAATAATGTTGCAATTGAGAAAAGCAAAGAGATATGTTTTTGAACGCTTACGACATGAGGATAGATGAGGATAGATTGTGTGAATGCTCATAACGCATTACATCATAAGAAGCACACATAATAGAAGACGATTATACAATTTCTAAACCCGATACCTTCAGTGTTAGAAGAAACATATTCAGAAAATAAAACAAATACACACAAGTGATAAGACGTAAAAATATACTAAGTGCGTATAAATATAAATCGAGAACTTGCGATTTTCATAACCGCTTATTTGAACGTGTGTATTTATTTTGCAAAATAATATATGATTAGAAAAATACTCATATGGAATAAATAATTTTTTTTTTGTAGAAAGCGATTCATCTTGTGTCTAGTGGCATATCTTGTTTTTTGTAACAACCATTTCACGTCGCGAATTTCAACAAAGAGGATCGGAACTTCACGAGGCAAGAATTAAAGAGAAATCATACACGTATATGATATTGTATGGGCGATAGATAATAAGGAAATACATGGCGTATATCATGGCGTATGCTTTCATAATTCTTTTTCGTTATAGTGACTAGCGAAAAATATTATCTGTTACTATCGTTTCTAAGCTGTGATACAACTAATTATTAAAGTTATTGTGATAAGAAAAAATATACTACAAATACACGCATAAAATAATAATAATTATATTTATTTTCTAACACTTGAAACGAATAAATACATATATGTGTGTGTGTGTGTGTGTAAATATATATTAATGTGTAATTGTCGTAATTATATTACTGTGACGGAGTATTATATATTGCAGTTATTATTATTTATAACGTCATACGATTGTGTCAGCTATCGTCTTTATCGACTCAGTGCTCTCTTTTTCTCTCATGCTTTCTAGTGACATTGACGAGGTAATGTTGACGTCACTGTCACGAAAATTGTTTTGAATACATTCTGTGCAATCACATGTGCAAAACGGTTATACTGGTTGATCTGTCGTGTTGTGTTGTAGCTTTTGATAATTTAAATACATAACAAATTCACAGCGAGTGTGCAATGGATCTTGACATACTCGTGCTTGACGTGCTCGAAAAAGATGACCACACTGCTCTGGAAAATTGGACGGAGTGGTGCCGGATGTTTCGGCAGAAAGTCAATACCTATATTCAGGAAGTCCAATTGGTTGAGCAAGGTATAAAAATCTTTTACACATTGTGCATATACATAAATTAGAAAGCTTTCCGAAGATTAACAACGAGTGATCTTGCATCGTGCACTTTAATTGTATAAATCACTTCATCACTTGATTCATAATAATAAACTGTTCATCTCATAATAAACTCTGTGGAACTTGTATTTTTTTGCTTTTTTTTTTTTTATAATAAATATATTGTTTGACATTTGCACGTTGCAGCCCAGAATCCTCTCGCTAAACAAATATCAGAACTGGAAGATGACTATGAGAAATTGAAATTCAGTTTAGAGAATCTTGCAACAGAAGAAAAACTATTAGATAAGAAGATATTCAAAGTGAAAAAGGAAATAGATGATCTGGAAGTGGAATCCCAAACCGTGAAAGCAGAAAAGGATGTTTTATCGGTACAGATATTAAAGTTGGAACATGGTAAATAGATCTGTTTATTTGAATCTTTTATCGATTAATTGAATCCATCATATTTCTAATCTCTGCATTTCTCTTCAGATATACATGAAAGGAAGACAAACAAACTTCTGCAATGGAGTGCTTTTAAACGTGCCATGAGCTTTTATAAACAAAACTTGGATATACACATAAGTCTTGAAGAACATACAGATGGTGATGATCAAATACGATTTGATTTCTTCACACACAACGAAGCAACGAAAGACAAATATTTTGTAAAATTATTACACAAAAATAATGAATATACAGGTAAAAATAGAAATGTTTATAGACATATGTGTACATACATACATAATGTAATATAATGTGCATATTTGTAACCAATTAAAATAATTCTAATATGTGATTGTTTCAGTCGAGCAAGTTGAACCGAAATTAAAGAAAGAGCATTTGAAAGAGATGTGTATTATAACGAAATCTTCAGAATGTTCCAGAGTATCCGACATTACATTGTTCTTGTGCCAGATACGAAACGTATTTCTACAGCATTATATAAAAACATCGTAAACATTTATGGGTTATTAATTGTATATGGATGTGTATATAGAATATATAATATTTTTATATTTATGATAGAGAAAACGAATATATATATTCTTTCACTATCCCTTTTTTACGAAAGAATAATTTTTATTAATGTGAAAGTTGAAATGTAGTTAAACCGCATCGTTGTGTATGTATAGTAGACACGCGCTTGCTATTGGTTTTGATAAGTTTATATCTCGCAAAAAATATATATTTGTATTGATAAAATATATATATGTATGTTTTATATGTGTGTGATGTATTTCTCTATTGATCGTCTCGCACCTGTAATTTTCTCTGAACTGTCTAAGAACAATATCCCCGAATCGAGATAATTGACATCATTTTGTTACAGTTTAGTTAACTTTCAGTAAGAGAGTCGCGTGTGTGAGACCGCAACTTTACAGACAGCTTTTTGCCGACCGTTATTTAAGATTTGCGAGAAAAAAATCAATTGGCAATGCGAAAAAAAGCAACAAAGGATGATATATGCACACTTATGTTTAAACGTCAGCGTGATTTTATTCAACTACAGTACATATTACAGTATCTTGTGTTTTGTGTCATTTCTCTTTCGATTTTATTATTAATTTGGTTACAAGGATTTTTTTGCCGTTTCTGGTCCGAGACTTAAGCAGAAAACGAAAACGGAGAAAGAGGATAATGCAAATCACAGTGCGGATAAATAACTTAAGAACTAAAATTACGTAAAAACAGGTCTCTGCTTTGTCTTTTCGTACTTATCGTATGTAAAATGTATAAACGGTACCTACGCGTACATATAGCGCTGCTTCGTTTCGAATGGCATCAGTAAGTGACACCACTTAGACGCTTAAAAATTAAACATACGGCGCACGTATAAGATCGGCGTTGTGTTAAAATCGTCTTTTCGGTTGTATTCCGTATGTATAAAATATACTCACGTACAGATATGTGTAGACAATTAGCTCGTAATACTTAATTATTTATTTTGCCTCTCCCTAGCGATGTGCGACGTAAAGTTACTTTTTTCATTAAAATACTTAATAAAGATAAATTATTATTTTGATTATGAGTTTTCTAGCTAATTGATGCTGCAATTCCGAGCAAACGTGCGAATAAATCGTAAATTCGTAAAATTACCGCTTACAAGGCAATTTGTAAGAAGCTAAGTTCAAGAACAGTACACAATAGATTCTACATTAAACTGCAATCCTGTGCATCAGCGTCTCTGTTGCAATATATTCATAATCAAGATGAGCGAGCAACTTTACTTTGAATAATTTCGAAACAAAAACTTGAAATTGCAGCACCAAGTTAGCAGTCGTTCGAAGCAATGGGCTGCTTCTGCGTGTAACGAAAAAACCGAGCAAGAAATTGCTCTGTGATTTCATTTAAAAATGAAAAAAAAAAAATTTAACTTCGCGATCTTCAGTCACGGAAATGTCTTTTCGCGTTGCATTTTATTATTATTTATGCGCGCGCATGTATCTGGAATAGTTGAACACCGTATATGCGGCTAAACGGGTTGTGTTACATTATGTATGCCCGGAGGCACGTTGACAATAATTCGTCCCTATTGGCACGAATTAACAAAAGAGTCAATTGATCGCCCACTGCCAATCTGTCCGCGCTAACGGCATAAGTTAACAGATTTTATTTGCTTCATTGACCCGCAAGGGAATTCATTTGCATATGCATGACTATTGAGAGATTCGATCGAAGACCGAAGTCTTCTGTGAGTTATTATGTTGTAGAAGGCTGTGTATATGTGTGCGATGTGTAGTTTCTTTGTTCGCGTAACATTCTCGAAACTATTTTACAACATGCAAGAAACAAATTCGTCAAGCGCGACTTATGCGTTAAATACACGGAAATAAAAATAAAAATTGTGGACGCTATGAAGCTTTGTTTAGATACCGATACGATGTCGACTATTCACCAGCTTCGTACACAATTTAGAGGCTAAAAGCGCTAAATTAAAGATGAGTTTCGCTCATAAGTGGCTATTTACAATGAAAGGGCGTACAACGATCTTATCGAATTGTTAAGAACGAAGAAGTAACGTACAATTCACTTGTACGTGCTCTAATCCCAGTGTTCAGTATTGGATCTTGCCGAATTGTGGGAATCTTTTTTTTTTTTTTTATCATTACGAGACTTCGACCTCCGCCCGGCAATGAAGATATGCGATGGATAAATTTTGAACGTTCAGGATTGTTCCTTATCATGGAATAATGGATCCGCCGCGGAATTTGCTGTTCACACGCAGGACGCACACGCGCATTCACTTTGCATATACATATATACATATATGTACGCACCCGTGCCTTCGAAAACGCGAAGAATAAAAGAGCGCCTGTGAATTAAAACGCACGACGTTATGTACAGTGCATGCAAAATACGACACTACTATCGCAAGTAGTACGTTTCCAGAAACGGCATGTCGAATATTCGATAAATCGCTCCGTTCCGTATTTTCGTTTTTGTGGTCTTCCTTGCTCCTCTTTGTTCTTCTTCGCCGTCTCCTGTCCAACAAGAGTTTTCGCGCGCGATCCTCTGTATCGCGGAAATAGTTTGAGACTTCCGGGTCTCTCTCAATGCATTTTCTTTCTCTCTCTCTTTCTCTCTCTCTCTCTCTCTCTCTCTCACACACACACCCTGTTAAGATGCTGATAAACTCGTGCGATTATATCCTTGAAAGGTCATCATCGTGCACGCCACGGCGACATGGATCCTCTTCTTCTCCGTCTTCTTACTCGAGGGTGGCGGCAAAAGACACGTTGCCGCCGGACGCGGCCGCCGCGGCGGCTAGCAAAAGTGCCGGCGGTAACTGTGACGTGGTCGTGATCGGACAGGTGTTGCGTCCGTAGATTTTTGCGTGATTTACCTCGAGTGCAACAGTCAGGTCTGCCAGGCCGTCGTCACACAACACGGGATTGTCTGCAAGAAACGGGAAGCGTGTGTGTGAGAGCGCAAGAGAATAAAGGTTGGAAGACGACACGTAGAAGCAAAAAAAGAAAATACACAAAAAATGAAAAAGAAACGATATTTATATGCGCGAGACAGAAGCGTATCATTCTGCGTGCGATACACTTTTGATTTTTCACTCGTTATATCGCGCGATTCTGTCTCGCTGTATCAGAGTCCTAAATTCGAGAGCTATTATTTTGGCTGTAAATATCATATAAAAAATTATCGCAAAGACGCATGACTGACGAGCACGAGCTTTGGCCGCGAGCTCTGATAACGCGGATTAGTTTTAACCAGAAAATTAATCGTTTTAACATACACCCAGTCGGTTACCACGCTCAGAGCATGAACTGTCGTCGAACAGATTAATGTGGCGACACTTTTTTTTTCCAAAGTTTCATTCAAAGATCGTGACCGATTTTCCCGTATAAGTATATATATAATATACAACCGCGCGCGAAATAAAGGAACATTGTCCTCTCAAGCGAAAACTTAAAGCAACCCGAGAAGGTAACGGGATTCGGCAAGACAACGCGGTTGCAAGAAAACAAAATAAAAAAGTAGACAGAAAACGACGATATATTGACAATAACAGCGACTCAACGAGCACAGACGCCGGTGTACAATAAATAATTCGAGCTGGCGCCACAGCGGGGGTTATCACGAGAAATGTAACGTTGTAACAAATAATATACGCCTCGGGAGCTGAACGAAGCCGAGCCATTATCAGCGAGTAATTTATTTTCCGTCCTCCTCCTACCTCTTTACCTCCCCTCTCACCCTTGCGTATTCGGCCGCTCTTTCTCCCGCTCCCTTCTTTCTTCTCTTTCTCTCTCTCTCTCTCTCTCTTTCTCTCTCTTTCGCTTTCTCTCTGTTTGTTTGTCTACCATTTAAGACCTTACAAATGGTGTTTATTAATTATGCACTATCGCGCTGCGTCACACGTCGTTCTGTTCTCAACAATTAACAATCTAATTGAAAAAAAAAAAAAACAAAACAAAAAAAAAACAATTTAATCGAATCTGCCGAATCTTCAATCAAATGAGTATCCGTCTGAGATGAGATAAAATTGCGCGTTAACACATATTTCACAGAATTTATACAGTAACTTTAGATAGTGTCGCACAGGAAGATGTTGCGCGTTACGCAGAGAAGAAAACATTGCGTATTTAATTAAATAAGAATAGCTATTCCGTTGAAAGGACAGAATCTCTTGAACGACATTAGCCTTGCTCAAGTAGAGATTTCACTGTACGTGTCGGAGAGTCGTGTTTATACGATAGTTAACTCGATTACCGTTTCGTTTGTCATGAATCTCTCGTGTATCAGGCGGATGTGACGGACAACATCGCATACAATTCGGTCTTTATTTTTCTCACCAATACGCGACGATTAATAAAATTAAATCTACCTTATTATTATTATTGTTATTGAACTATTTTTCATTGAAAAACAAACTTGAAAGTTTTAAAAATAACGTGCAAATTTTATATACATTCATTATTATTATATTATTAAACACCGGAGAGGAGAGAGAGAGAGAGAGAGAAAGAGAATATATATATATATATATATAATATATATAAAAATATGACACTGGGAGACATTAAAGTAATGTTGATACAGGGGGTAGGAAAGGAGGAAAGAGGGGTGTGGGGAGAAAAAGAAAGTCCAATATAGACTCACCTTGAAGATATATACGTAGCACGTCGGGGACTCCGTGAATCGTGCATCGCGTATTAGCCACCAACTCCGGCATGACAGTACGTATTTGATTCATACTGAAATCGGCCCAGCAGAGCACCGGGAAACCGCGAAAGTCGCGACCAGACAGAGTGACCAGACGATTGTGCGACGCGTTCAGTTCTTCCAGAACCGGCATCCAGGTCTAAGCAACGATCGCACACGTCGTTATTTTGTCATACCGTATGTCGAGAACACATTAAAACGTAGAAAACGAAGAAAACCAAGAGATTCGAAAGAAAATAAAAAGATCTCAATTGTGTCATTTCGCATACGTTACCTCGGACATGTCCTCGAGAGTTATGAACTGATTGTGCGAGATGTCGAGCACGCGGAGTCCGCCGAGGCCGCGCAGATCACGCGGTCCGATCGTAGGCCCGAGCGCGTTGTGACTGAGATTGAGCCTCTGCAGCTCCTTCATGCCCAAGAACAGAGAACCGTCCAGGCTGCGCAGCTCGTTGTGCTGGAGACGCAGGTCTTGGACGTTGCGGCCAGCGATTTCCTCGCCCTCTTCCTCCACCAGATTCTGCGAACGTCAAGTGTGCGTTGGGATTCAACCGATCGTTTTTCTAATTCGAATCAACAAAGAATAGCAATGCGAATAGCACCCACCTCTGAGGACGGCCTACCCCTGACGAGTCGAGCGATTCGATTGTGCGACAGATCGAGCAGCCTGAGCTCGCGCACACCGCGCAAAGACGCAAGGGAGAATTCGCGAAGTTCGTTGTGCGTCAGGTTGAGGACCTTCAACGATCGGAGTGGATAAAGAGCGCTACTCCCGTTACCGTCGCCATCCGCACCGCCGAGGGACTTGAGAGAGTTGTGGCCGAGCTCGAGGTCCTCCAACATCTCGGCCTCTATGAAATCGTCCGCGTTCAGCTGAGAAGACACCAAGTTTCAAACGTCGTCCAATTGCTTTGCTCGTAGTATTAAAACTGCGCTTGATTAACGCTCGGTATTGTCGCGACGAATACACGTTTCGATTGTACACGAAACGTGTGAAAACGTGTAAAAAGTCTATCGCAAAAAACGCTAAAAACTAGTTCGTCCGTTTCGTCGGGTGGTGACTCGAAATCCTTCCGTCAGGCGGAAGGCGGCAATAATTACGTTACATACGTGGTAATTGACTCAATGTACGGCGCGCTTTAGCGCGAACGAGCGCCTCGACTCGAGCGCTCCGGCGCGTCGTGCGCGTTAAAGCGTTAATATTACGAGAGAGAGAGAGAGCACGTGCGAGAGAGCTTTGAATGCGCTTCTCTGAATGTTCCGCGATTCGTATAACATCTATTTTTCAATTTTTTACCTAATATTTAAATAAACTTTAAATTTTCTCTTTTTCTCTCATTTATTTGACCTGCCGCTAGCGAGCTTGAAGTCATTTTTCGACTCTTTAATTGGACGCGTTGAAGAATAATATGTTTTGCGTGAAAAATATTCGCGTGACGAAAAGTCGAACGTGTACTCGTGTCACAAAATTACATTGTAGTCTATATACCTCTTGCAGCTCGTTGTACGAAAGCTTCAGATATTTCAGACGTCTGGCCTTTTGCAGAGTGCCGTCGAGATTTCGGATCTTATTGTGCTGAAGGAAGAGACTCTCCAGACGATGGAGATATCGGAACTCGGCCGGCAGATGCGTCAGCTTGTTATCCACGGCATAAAGCATCTTGAGATTGTGACCGGACGACGGTAGCTCGCCGTCGAGCGACGTGAGCTCGTTAGAATTAATGAGTAGCCATTCGAGTTGATTTAAATCCCTGCAAACAAACAAGCGCCCGGCACGTGGCATGAGTCGCCAGGGAAATCCAGTTCTTCGGTGCGTGTCTTCGAATCGCCGCAGGAATGTGTCGTCGAACATTCTAGCATACGACATATCTCTCGAAAGTTTAAACACGACGATAGTAGCTGATCTACGCGTGGTATTTCCTATAATCAGCAATTTGTACGCGCATCATCATCATCATCATCATCATCATCATCATCAACAGTTTACGCAGTCTTGATCACAGGCGGAATGACTGACTAGATAAGACGTTCTTTTGCGGCTACGAATGACAGTAAACAGGATGAGACACCATTGATAGCTTTCCGACGCGAATCTCAAAGATTGTGAACGAAAAGTGTCTTTTTAGAGTTAATTGCAAACGTAGGTACTATGAAAACTGTTTACGTCGCACTTAATATCAGCATGTTTACAGGAATTTGTAACCTTTGACAGTGTCGCGAATCGTCCGAGCGCTAGAACTCTCATGTGCTAATTTTCTGTATACGAAGAAGCGTATGTATCAAAAACGATCGTACCTCAGAGTGTGATTCAAAGTATGCAGACGATTTCTCCCGACGTGTAAATGCTTAACCAGAGGCGGTAGCGAGCCTGGAGTCATCTCGGATATTGCGTTTCCGGCCAAAAACAAGTGTTGAAGCATTGGATTGTACTGAAACAAACAACAAGGAACACAAAATTGTAAATTATTAATTTGTTATTACACAAATTATGTAACTTTTCTCTTATCTCGTCGAGAATTTTATCTAATAGCAGTATATATGCAATAATTGCGCACGCATTTTAAATGATAAATTTTCGTATCAATATTAAAATTAATAAAATAACTAAAAAAACACACTTGAGTTCAAAAATATTTTAACTACTTTCAACATTGGAAGTTTTGATTCCTTGTAATTTTGATCACAGTCTCTTTTTTCAAAAAAAAAAAAAAATATCAACGAAAAACTAAATGATTACAAAATCAAGTAAAAAAACAATAAATACACATAAGACTTTGTATTAAAATGACATATCATAACGTCAAAGTTTGATAAACATGTTTTGTGTTTTTTTATTTTTATCTTAAACCTATCACGCGTGTAAAATGTTGCTACATGCGTGTTGTCTGACATTTGTAGTAAAGTGCGAGAATTAACGCGTCTTTAAATTTAGCTGTGCGAAAAACTATAAAAAACAAAAATAAAAAAATAAAAATAAAAAATTCCCAACATTCCGTAAGTACGAAACTTAGTTCGATGCGTAATCGGCCAACTATTTGCAGCATGTGGCATGGTCGCGTGTATCGCGATGACATCCCGTCTTAATCGCGTCATCAAGCTCGGAATTTAGAGAACTTCTGTGATCTCTCTATCTCTCGCGATCTCACATTCAGAGATCTTCAGAGGTGTGAGAAAAGAAATTCAAGTAATTTTTTTATAATACGCACCTTGAAGTCATCCGAATCGATACGGCTTATCCGGTTTCTGCTGAGGTCCAGAGTTCTCAGCAGCGACAGATGCGACAAGATATGTCTCGGTATTGCGGGCACCTCGTTGTCCGCCAGACTCAAGTACTGGGTTCGACTGAGACCAGCGAAAACGTCGCCGTCCAGGACCCTGCGAATCACATCGTACAACACCTCGTGCTATTTACTCGCAACTTTGTGACTTTTCACAAGAAAAATTGTTTACGCCGCACGTACGATAATCGTACAATTTTTTTCTTTATTGTTCTTACGTTAATTTTTCTAAGACTTTCCCTAATCACGCACAGCGTGAGATATTTATCTCTTTTTTTTTTTTTTTTATTTGTCTCATCGTATTCTCGTTGCTTATCATTTGTGCGTAGTAATACACACATAAACTGGAGCGGCCGGATAGACGGGCCAATGAGGGTCCTGAAAAAAAGTGGACGCGCCAGACGTTATCGTTCGATTATTCACTTAGTATTGGCTCACTGCGACTTGTTATTTAATTATTCCACGACGATAAAACGCGCAAGCATCGCCGCGATAACTCGCGCTAAGAGGTCAGGCACGATTAAGATTCTCGCGCCCCCGTCTCTACCCTCCTTTCCGCTGTCTCGCGAGAAATGTACGGCGTCTTCTCCTCGAATAGAGGCCGGCGCCGATCTTCAAGGATCATCGTTCGTTCCGCGCTCGTTTCTCGTCGCGCGGCAGGATAATCAAGAAAGAGACCGGAGAGAAAGAAGAGGCCTCCACGTCTTTTGTGTGTAGCTCGTAAAAAAAATTGACGGCTCGAGAGGCGCGGCATTCCGAGGAAAATCTCGACCCCGAGAGAAATGTAAATGGGGGACACGTTTACGCGCGTCGAGAGACGTGACCAAAAAAATTAGAAAAATTTCGGCAACTAGGCAAATTAGCGGAACTCTCGAGATGCGCATCAATGCGCGTTTATATTTATCGCCGTTCATTCATCAATCTGCTTGATACATCATTGTTACATAACGATGCATCACGATGTGTGTCTTCCGCGATATCCTGGCAGTGTGTACACAACAATTATTTAATATTGACGCGTCGCGGTTCGATAAACCGATAAACCGCGCGAAATTTATACTCGTTGTCTCCCGCGCTCGTTTGTACGTACATCTCCTTCTCACTCCTCGCGTATCGCGTTACCTTGTACGTCAAAAAAAAAAAAAAAAAAAAAAAATGTCCAAAAAAAGTGATACTTTTAACGCTGATTTTTTATCACGCGGACGGTCACGACGGTTGCATATGACGAAGCGTGTTCGGGGTTAAGGACAATCGCGCGCGACGATCACGAAACACGGGTGGAACCACGGGGGAGAATTCGAGACGAGCGAGATCGGGCGCGTTTCATTGTCCGCATATAAGAAGAGAGACGGTGCGATGGCGCCGCAATATAACGCCTTCGCAAATGCGCGCCATCGTCATGAGAATTAAGATCACTTCTTTGTTATACATATACAAATGTCTCCATTCAATGTCCGCAATAGCAGACGATGACCTTTCGCGAAGATACTAGCCGTATCAACGTGTGTGGCACACTTGTGGACGGGACGCGGAGTGCGCGAGTACGAATGACAGGCGTGAACGGCTGCTGCATCTTCATATATTTTGCTTGTTTGATTTTACCCTGTTTACCGCGCCTTCGACCGATCTCTGCAATTCCTCTTCCTCCCCCTTCTCTCTCTCTCTCTCTCTCTCTCTCTTGCTTTCTCGTTCAATTTCACTGAGTGCAATTAACAGCAATTAAAACAGTTAACCGGGTTTGTTTTTTTTTTTTTTTTTTTTTCACACACCAGACGTTCTCGAAAAAAAAAAAAACGATCAATGTTATTGAATTGATTTCAGTAATTTTTCAACAAACAATCGATAAGAGAGAAAATATTGGTTAAATAACGAAAGGATGTTTACGAAATGAAAGCTGTTTCATAGTTTCTGTTTATCGCGTTTGAAAAATGGATAATCTCTCTCTCTCTCTCTCTCTTTCTCTCTGTTAAAACTCTCTTTTATCATCTTCGCGCGACAACTATGTAGTAGCGCGCTGTGTAGTAACCGTGACTGATAAGCGCGACATCATTATCGTTGCTCCCACGATTCTCATGGACTTCACCGAGGACTTCAGACCTACTGACTGTTTTTGAAATCTCATCGTAACACGGATCGCATTATTAACTCTCAAATTAACGCTTTAACAAACAAGCAGCCGACTGAAATCGGGGAAATAAGACCTTATCGCGTTCGACATGGAAGTTTGATTAAAAATTTGAATTTGTCTTGAATCACGAAGATGCAACAAGAACTTTCTTCTTCGAAACCGCGACCTTCGAAAAGAATCGCAACTAGCTCGGTAGCTAGTCGAGCGTGACGATTCTATCATCACTCACCCTATAAAATCGTGATTCAACTCGAGCCGGGTGATGGACATACGCAGTTCCTTGAAGTCGTGGCGGGATATGTCGTGCAGATCCGAATGCGTCACCCGCAAGGTGATCTGCTGCTCGGGGGTGAATTTGCCGCTTAGCGCTTCGGCCAGTTGATCGAACGACTTCATCTTCTCGCACAGCACCTCGATACGCTCTCCCAGGTGGTGACCACCGCCACCGCCGTTACCTCCGGCGTTATTGTTGGTGTTGGCGACACCACCGATGGACGCGGTTACCGGCGCCTGATTGATAACGGGACTGGAGAACTCCTCCTGTCGGCAGGTGCACGGGCTGATTTCGCGGCGCACGGCGCAGTGGAGGCTCGTGCTAGCCGCGAGACCCAGCAGCGTGTAGAGAATCCCGGACATTATGACACTTGACGGACAAGAATGTTGTAATATCGATCGCAACGTCGATCGATTAGAACGCGTAATGTTTGATTCAAACGTAAAATTGTGAGACAAAATTTACGAGAGCGCGGTGATCACGCGTACCCTCTCTGCGCGATCACCGACGGCGTCCTTCTTATCGCCACCACTCGATATGTATATGAATGTTGTGCACGAGTTTAATTAATAGCACGATTGAATTTTTCGTAACCTTTGTGTTTTTCGTCAAAAAACGCAAACGCCAGGATGATGTTGCATAGTGCGTGGGATGGACGGTCGCGCGCGCGATGTTCGTTCGTACACCCGATCACTGATCAACACGGCGAGCAGACCGACACAGGAGCGGAGCGAAGTTGGACACTAGCAATAGTAGCAGCGACTGACGGCCACGTGTTATCTACACTGTCGCTCATCCGCACCATCCTACGGAATATAAGTTCACCACGCCTCCCTCTCTCCCACCTTTTCTCTCTCTCTCTCTCTCTCTCTCTCTCTCTCTCTTTTGCTCTTTCCTCTCCTTTGCCGTCGCTTTGGCCGTTCGAAGGAAGCTTATCGTCGTCGCCAGTAGGTCTTCCTCTTGGCGCCACGGACGCGGTAACGGCATTAAGCCGCGACGCGCCGTGCAAGACTTACTTATAGTCGTGAACGGAAAGTCGTCTCGTCGGATGGCCACGGTGGCGCCGTGCGCCTCCTTCGAGAGGGCGAGAGGGACTCCCTCCGAAGATCTTCTTCACTCTTCTTACGCACTCCCTCCGTCGTACGTTATGCATCGTACACCGACTTTACGGGCTCGTCTTCTTTTTCCTCCCAGCCGGCTCGGCTCGGCTCGTCCCGTTGCTCTCCCTCTTGCGCGCACCGTCACACACTCCTCCTCTCTCCCTCCTCCCTGTTTGTTGTTCACCTCGCACTCTCTCCGTTTCTCCTGGTCCAAGAACGGCACGTTCCTGACTCCTTTGCTCCCTCGCTGCGGCTACCGGCTTACTCGAATCCGGTCTCCCCGCTGTCAGGCGACGCTTTTATCTCTTTTTATGTTTATCCGATTATTCCGGAAGTTTTGTCCTGCCATAAGAAGAGGGAGAGAAAGAAAGAAAGAAAAAAAAGGAAAAAAGAGAGAGCTCTTGTTGAAGTTTTCGTGGACACTCAACAAAGTGATCTCTCGATATGAGAAGAACGTAAAAGTTTCAAGACAGCAGCGCGCGACTCTTTAAGTCGAGAAATTCACCAACTTCTCCCTGTCATCTGTATCCACACTTCACGCAGGCTAACCAGGCGATGTTTGTATCGATAAGCCGATCGTTTACTTCACCTCTGACCTTTGTTTAAGATTTGCACGGTGTGCACGGCGTGAAAGACGATATGCAACAGATAATTTTCTCTCTGTTGCTCTTTCTCTTGCAAACTTTTTGGGGAGCGAGTCTTCTGTTTTATTCCCACAAATAAACATTTTTTAACCGCACTTCATGTGCGCGATGTTTTTATGAAAGAACAAAGTTGCCTCAAAACATGTGCGATCCGAGCATTTCGGATATTTAGATATTTATAGATGAATCTTGTAAATTATAAATTAAATTACCGCTTGTAGCTAAATTAAAACTATTTACTTTAATTAATTTTATTTTAATTTCTACGTTTTTTGTTTTTTATTACACTCGACCGCGAATATTTTGTGACAAAAATCGTCAGATCGAAAAGCCACATTGTGGCAAACTTTGTTTTCTCGTTTAAGTTTGCACTTCGAAGAATCGGACACAACAAAAAAAAAAAAATATTCCAATTTCTGTGGAATGTTGATGGAGTCGGCAGACAGTCGTTATCATTGTTGGACTTAGGTTTACCCGATTCATCATCGGCAATGATTATTAGAGGCGGGGCCACGGATATTCAATCAAGAGCGCTTTCTCTCTTGCATCCGAATGAATCTCGGCGAGTGATTTATAACACCGAGTATTTCAGGTAGCCCGCTAACGACACCTTCTTTTTTTTGTTCTCTTTTCAGTATTCGGGAGCGGAAACCAGTGAGTAATTTCGCCGAGTTAAATCTTCGACGTCTCTCAGGTTTCAGAAAAATCTAATCACCTTCGAGTCTATCTATTTCAATTAAAATACAATATATCGCGGTCTTACATACAAATGCCGAAATCACATTGGAATTTCGATCGTTCGTTTACTGAAAACGCGCAAGGTCCGCAAGAAGCGTGGCGTTTTCGCTCGCATTACAAATTGGCGAGATAAATTCCGGACTCCGTCTTCGTTAATCATCGCCCGGAGAGAAGCTAATCCCGGGGAGTGCGCGTGTCCGTATCGAGATTGTAAGTGTTCTATCAAGGGTTCCTCTGTTCAACGTAAAATGATATCGATTACTTAATGAGCTCGCCGATGCGGCGGCGGCGCTGCACGGGTCGCTTGTCATCTCAGTGAACGCCTCTATCTATATAACATAGCTGTTTACGCGCGTGATTTATGTACCCATTTATGTGCCGTAACTCGCCTGAGGTATGTCGTGCAAATTCCTGGCCCCGCCGCGCCACCGCACAACTCTCTCTCCCGTCTTTATACATCTTCTTTAAATTATCTCACATTGGCTCCCATGGCATTTCGTACTGGCGCCTACAATTTGCCTAATCTCTTCTAGTGTAAAGGTCATCAAACTGTAGCAATCAAGTAGAGATACGCAAATAGAAACGAAAAAACATGTGGCTTCACAGACTTTTTCAGACTCGATTAAATCTTATACTGTTCAACATGGTTTAAATTGTTTTTATTTACCACAAAGAGACAATGGTAATAGAATAGTAATAAAATGATGTGAAAAAAAAAATATATATATATATAGAGAGAGAGAGAGAGAGGAGAGAAACTTTCTCTTTATGTCCTTCTGTTGTTTGTTATCATTCTTATTGTCGCCGCGAGCGGAGAATAACACACAGGAGCAAGGGAGAAGAATGACAAGGAGAGTGAGAGGTTAGCCCAACAAACAAAGCAAACCAAAGCCAGGCAAGGCATGGGCAGGGCACGAGGCACGAGACACGACGTGGAGAGACTTAACTCTCCAGAGCCTCGTTTTAACAAATGCGAGAATGCGGCCTGGCGCCAACGCACACGCCGCGCCGGCCGCGCGTCACGCGCTCTCGCTTCTCTCGCCGACTCTCACTCTTTCTCTCTTACCCGTACTTTTTCTCTCTCTCTCTTTCTTTGTTTAATGACCTTACCAGAGTTCAAAATACTAAATTGCATCTTTCAATTTGCATATTTTTCATACAACAAGCACCGGGCCGCGTGTTGTGTCAAATAAGTAGAATCCAAGGTGAGAAGAAGAATCAGCGGTCGATCACTGGTGAACGTGAAAAAATTTGTCAAAACACATTAGAAGATTGCGCAATATACACTTCTCATTTTTTTTTATCCTTCTCTTTCTCTATTTTGAGAATAAATTGAAAAGTTTTTTTCTTTCAAGAAATTACGAGATATACAGATTTTATTATACTCTTCTCTCTTTCCCTCTTTCTTTCTCTCGATTATATTGAATGTGGACAGTATATGTTTCTCTCCAGCACTCTCTGCCTGCATTTCTGTATCGCATAGCTTCGAGGTATGCGAGCGAACTCTTCTTCCTTTTCTTATCGAGAAAAAGGAACGGAGGAGCAAAGAAGCAGGAGAAGAGCACATATACAGAGTGGAAGCAAAACGAGGAAGATATATAGCAACGCGCGCTCGCGTCGCGCTCGAGTATGGACGATAGATATTGCACGCTGCGTCGTGATATTAGGAGATAATTACCTGTGGCGTAGACATGGAGGATTTGCTCTAGCCAGCGCGAAGATTAGCCTTGTTCCAACTAGCTGCTACCGTATTGTTCGTTTCTAATATTCAATATCTCGGCAGAATGACAGATCTCAATCTAAGGTCCATTGTGTTCTAAGTTCTTACTTGAGACTTTTTTTGCGATACTCTTCTTTTTATTCTAGAAAAACACAAATTTTATCAAAAAAGAGCCGGTAAAATTATTATTTATACATTATTAACACGTATATACATATTATTGCATACATTATCAATAAGTTACAAAGAAGAGATATCTGAATTAGTTAAAAATCTGGTGTTTGGGCTTTGCTTCGGTTCTGTTCTGCATTCTTTTCTCTTCGCGCATTTCTTCTCCCTCGGAAAAAAAAAAAAGATCTGTGTCATCACAGATTCTCGGGAATTGCAGTTGAGTCCAAATAGCATTTTGTAAGAAAGATGTTTGTCGTCGCTTTTCACGCTTCTGGCATCTGGCCTCTTTCTCCCCTCTTTTTCTCTTTCGCTCTCTCCCTCTCTCTCTCTCTTTCTCTTTCTCTCTTCCCGTCTTGCTTGTTACGCGGCGCCACTTCGCGTGGTTCACCGCGAAAGGGGTAAAAAGACACTGAGCGAGAGAAGATTAAGTCAAACATACAACTGACGATCTAAATCCAGACGGATGTTTATTTATATATATGTATATATATACATATATATATATATATATATATATAAAGCCGTGTCGTTTCCCATGCGCTGCGAGTTTCGGACGGCTCCTAAATCGAAACCACGCTTGGAATGCTTGACTTTTCATCTCCGTCTCGAGCGACATTCACACGGATAATTGTTGTTTTTGAAGCGGTCAAAATGTGTGTATTTTGGCCGACAAATATTAAACGCGACGGCGCGCAAAGCGAAATAAATAATCATCATCACTTCTCTCAGGCATTTCGCGCGCTATTTCTTTCCCGCGTTTCTTTTTTTTTTTTTATTCTTCTTCTTCCTCTTCCAACAATATATTATGATCAGACGCGCAAAACCTCGTGCGTGCCGCATTAAAGTGCAGGAAGTAACGTTGTTTATGATCGTGTGCGAAAAGAATTTCCACTTAAAAGTATCATCATGCATTATCCACGAGGAATCCATCAGGATGATGTCTCTCGATAATGTTGAGAGCCTCTGACGACTGTGTGTGTTTACGATGAGATTTAAAGCCAGCCTTCCCGTTTCGTGCCTTTCGTGCCACAGGCGTGCCCATGGCCGAATCCCGCGGCTGGGACTTTTCACTTCTATCGTTTTTATTGTACCTTTTTTTTTTTTTTTTTTCTGGCCTCACAGCGGAACCATGTCCCGCATGCGGTAGCACGCGGAATGGTGCACGCGGGGTGGAAGGATACTCCGGAGCTCTCTCGTGAAGGCCTCGCTCTATCACGCTGCGAGATACACACAAAGATGCGTATCGTCACTTCCTGCACATGTAAAATGCCATTAAAATATTTTATGGACGCATCATACGCGCACAAAGGAATGATATGTTTTTTTTTCTCTCTCTCTCTCTCTCTGCAAGAGCGCGTGTATGTCACACAAATATCCTTAATGGAGTGCAACTGTTTTTCTCTCTGTTATTTTATTTATTGCACTCGATAAAGCAATATATAAATATGTTTGTACGTTTATAACTTCTTAAACACACTGTAAACATCGCGAAAAGATTTCACGTAAGAATTAAAATATAAAAAAAAAAATTACCTTTGTTATATGTGTGACAAATTGAATTTCTAATTTTCTTTTAAATGCGCAATTTGTAAAAGTTGTTCTTCTTGTCAAACATTTTGGGAATACAAAAAACTCCACACTTTCACATACCACACGATCAAAAAAACCAAAAAAATCCGCAAATTTGTGCAAAAAAACTATACTGCGTAGCTGATCAGGCGTACGTATAAACACCTGCTGAGCGTTTGAGCATTAGCTGCATATCGTAGCGTCACCTGTCAATTTATTTCTGAAAAACTCACTTTGCACCTCGACGGACGGTATAACGTCCGCGGGGTTGGACTGTAATACCTTCCGGGGTTTAGGGAACTATCGCTGTTGCATATTGCCAGCACTTGCCGCGGCGTATACGTTGGTAAAGCGCATTCTGGGTAGAATAACGTGTGTCCGTGCGTGCCCAATCGTGACTTTTCTTCCGTTTTTCTCCCTCCGTGCGCGCCCGTCCCTCTTCTGTGTAATCATTGCGCGACATTGTGCGACGTTATGAGATTCGCAACGAGAGAAAGGTGAATGAGAGAGCGAGACGAGTGAACAAAATGTGTGCGTAGTCGAGCATTACTGGCGTTGTGTGAAAATTTGCATCGAGATTCTTTCTCTCTCTTCCTCGCTACACATTCGACTGCTGCGCAGCGGCGACTCGCTCCTGAAATCGAGCAAGCGAAAATCCCCGTGTGCGCGTTTTTCGTTGCGTTGAATACGCGAGCTGTGCAGCGTCAGCATTGTGTGCGTTCTCTCCGGTGGGTCTCGACGGGGAAAACCGTCTCCGGGCTTGAGAACCTGAAACTCCGCACGCCGAGCAACATCGTAATCCGAAGCGTTCCTGGCGTGTTGTGTGCGGCTGCGACGCGAACGCGCCTATCACGATGATCGACTTAACAGTCAAGACCCTGGATTCTCAGAATCACGTCTTCTCCGTGGAAGACGACGTAAGTCTCCCCTCTGTCTGTCTCCTCGCTGTTCCGAGTCACGTGTCCCGTAGATCGATATTTTGTGTTGGTCGCGTCACACGATTGGCACACAAAGTGCGAAATTTTTTTTTTGTTTAAAGTCGCATTGAAAAATTCGGAGACTTTGTCCGACACACGGCCTGCTCCGTGTGTGTGCGTGCGTCGCGAAAGCGCGCACAACAACTCTATATTACCTCCCATACACGACTTTTCTTTTGACTTGACTTATATAATTATATAATATATACAATTGTGTGTGTATGTATATCTCTACAATTCTCTCTCCTTAAAGCAAATCACAGTCCGCGGCTTTAAAGAATACATAGCCGAATCAGTCGCGGTACCAGCCGATTCGCAGAGGTTGATTTATTGCGGACGAGTGCTTCAAGACGAAAAGAAATTAAATGATTATGGTACATGTATATCCATCTATATGTATATATATATATATATATATATCTAGTAATAAATAAACCTTCGGAAACCATGAGGGAATGTGATTCCTCGTGTATATTGACACTGTGCGATTCTTCAGATGTCAACGGAAAGGTCATACATCTGGTGCAACGGGCTCCGCCCCAATCCACTCAACAGAGCAACAGTGGTGCACAGACGCAAAATCGTCAGAACTGGCAGAACTCGCAGAGGCCGCAATATCGGTTCACGCGAACGCAAATGCACGGCAATGCCATGTATTTGGGTACTGCGATGTCAGTTCCAGCAGAGATTGTGGAGGGACATGGTAATATTCTGATTTCAAAATGTATAAAAACTACACACTAATTCTATCAACTGGAAAAAGTTTGAAAGAAGAGAAAATGTTATGGAGTCTCTCTCTCTGTTTCTTTTTTATGCAAAAAAAGAAAACTTGTTTTTAAATGTAGTTTTTTGCTCCAGAGTAAAAATGTAAGCTAACGTATGTTAACATATGTTATCTATAAACAATAAGCAGTCTCTATTCGTACTTTTGTACATTCCAATATCTGTTTTTCTATTCTACAGATTTTTTGCCAGTGTCTTTTGTTCTTTCTTTTTTAGGTATACCTCAGTTGAGCAATAGTTTATCAGGTAGTCGATTACATCTTGCTGGTCGAATGCTTGATCGCATAAATGAACTTTTGGATCGATTAGAGGATCCCAATGCTCCTCCGTTGCATCCAACACCATCTGAGCTGAATCAATCAACCGCACAGCAACAGCAAGCGCAGGCACAAGAATCGGAAGCTGAGCAAAATGAGTGAGTTGAGAAGAAAGCAGCATTTTAGATGATTCTTTCTATTTAGCAAATTGTGTAATGTCTGACATAACGTCGTCAGGAATAACGATCTCCCAAGAGACGACGGTGGCGTCAGATTTGCTGAAGCAGCTGCAGCCGCTATTACTGCTGCATTATCGGCCGCTGGTGCGCGTGCAGTAACATTATTTAGAGGTTGGCGTCACTATCAAATCTGTGATTCATTCGTTTAACTCCAGATATTAAATTTTTTTTACTGATACGCAGGAGGCAATTACAATGGCGCAAATGGAAGATCTACAAATGACATTGATAACGAAAGTAATGTTCAGGCACAGTCGCAACCACAGGCACAGTCGCAATCGCAATCGCAATCGCAATCGCAGTCGCACTCGCAATCGCAATCGCAATCGCAATCGCAGTCGCAGTCGCAGCAGTCGCAGCAGCAGCAGCAGCAACGAGCTCAAGGTGCTACAGATGCAGGAGCTGCAGGTGCTACATCAAGTAGTGCTGGACAAAACAGACGGACTCAACAGCAAGAGTATGTATATGTATTCTTTTAGTTTATATTTCTTTAGTGCTCGGGAAAAGAACCTCGTGTCGATAGCATCGATTTTATTCGCGAGTCCTGCACGGATAAACGAATACTCGTGTCTTTCGAGTTCTGATGTGTTTCATTTGTTAATTCAGCGCCGATGTGAAATGCTCATTTATACTTTTTAGTCTCCCGCGACCTCAGCAAATGGCAGAATTACTGCAGAGACTGCATGACACTCAGTATCGACTGAGACCTCACTTGGAGCGTTATTTGATGCTGATGCTTCTCGATCCTAGACATCCGCCTGGGGTGAGTTTCGATAGATTCTCGTGTTATCGAAGACTATTTGAAGTGAATTTTACTAAAGCTAGACTTATCGTTTTGTTTTTTTTTTTTTTTTTTTTTTTTTA